ATATTCAATTTACGATCTGTAGAAACAATGAGAATAGAAAGGTTCAGAACTTTTGTAAAACATCACAGTACAGTTGAAAAAGATATGGCAAATAGAAATCCAATATGGATGGTATTAAGAGATAGATGGGAGGTGTTGAATGGAGCTGAAGGATGGGACAAATAACAACAACTAATAACAACAAGATAACTAATGTAAAGCATACTGTGTCCATAATAAGTCTGTAGGTTATAGGTTGAGAGTTTTTGTGAAAGAGCACAGTTAGAAAAATATGGCATATAGAAGCAAACCAGATGGACATCATGAAAATGATCGGAGGAAGTTCAGGAGTAAAAACAAACAAAATATAATTATTGTAGAATTTGACTGTGTCCATAAAATGTATATAGTATGTATGGGCTGAAAGTAGAGGCCTAAGCGTTGTTGTTCACTAGTTTACTCCAATTGGGGAAGGGGTGGTAGGGTTGGAAAGTAATGAAGGGAAATATAATTTTAAAGAGGATGTGTGTGTGTATGGATGTATGTATATATATGTATGTATGTATACATATGTGTGTGTATGTATGTGTATATGTGTATGTGTATGTGTGTATATATATATGTGTGTATGTGTATATATATATATATATATATATATATATATATATATGCGAGAGAAAAAAAATATATGGGGGATTGGAAGTGATGCAGACAATTACCTTGATGGAAGTTACAATCTATCTGAAATATTAAAGCTGATCTACCCCCTAAAAAAAAAAGGGGAAAAAAAGACTCCAGCCACCCTAGTCATGTTTATTATTTATGCATAGTCACTTTAACTCTACCCACATGTACATATGACCTCAATTACCTCGACTAGCCGGTGCTCCTGCACATTGACTCTGCACCGGGACCACCCTGTATATAGCCTCCCTACTGTTCTTTTATTTTACTTATTTGCTATTTGTTATTTTGTTTTACTTATCTTTTTTCTTTTTTACTGCATTGTTGGTTAAGGGCTTGTAAGTAAGCATTTCACTGTAATGTCTACACCTGTTGTATTCAGTGCATGTGGCAAATAAAATTAGATTTGATTTGAGAAAGCATATCTATTGGATATTTTAAGATGATTTCCAGCTGTATCACTGAGCTGCCTGTCCCCCTCCCACAGTACCATGGATTATTGGACCGGCTGCTTGAAGGCCATCTAGAAGACAGCCCTTAAAATGATAAAGTAGATAGTGAACATGCCATTTCAGATGAACATGAGTTTGGTGGTAAAGAAGATGATAGTAACCAATAAGGGTTTGTTAGTAAACCACAGATAAACTCCAGTTCCCATGGCCTTGTCAGACATATGAGTGGGTCTATAAACACTATATTTGTGCATCCAGAGCTAGAGATTAGCATGGAGCCATCAGCAGAAGCAGCGCTGCCTGCAGTCCTTCCTTCTCTGGCCTGCCTCCGCTGTCAGGGCGCCTCGCCTCCTCCCAGTAATCAGGAGCTCCGGCGAGGAGCTGTAAAAATCATTTTACCCTCTCCTTAACAACAACAAAAACAACACGCACACACCCTCGGCTGAGGTGGCCACATTTCTGAGGGCCTCTGACAGGACGTGCTGAAGGCACAAATTGTCATTCATAAAGGTTAAGAGGGGGTCAATGCCTTTTATTATGAGTCTGAGTGCATCCAGCTTGATGGGGCCGGCATGCAAATGGCATGTCTCTGAGGGTTCTATGCAACACCACGGGGAGAGCAGTACGTACCTTGTTGGACGAGGGAGGAGTCAGGAGTCAGGGCAGGGACTGGGCAGTACGTACCTTGTTGGACGAGGGAGGAGTCCTGTTAATTAGACACTAGGACAGTGACCTGTCTGTCTAGCTGTTGCAATTACTACATTGCTAAATGTTCCTACTTCAAAATCCTATGCTTTTGGCTGTGGAGCATACATAGTATTGTATGTATCATGTAGCCTATACATGATTGAAATATGAGTTTACAAAAAAACAACATTGTGCACACGTTGTCAATTCATTCTGTTGCCTTGTAAAGAAGGGATATAGTCCTAAATACCACGTGCATCGAATACATTAAATACAATTGGAATATGGCCTATTTATTGCCTTACCTCCATAACTTACTACATTCGCACACACTGTATATATATTTTCTGTTGTATTTTTGACTTTATGTTTTGTTTTACCCCATATGTAACTCTGTGTTGTTGTTTTTAATCGCACTGCTTTGCTTTATCTTGGCCAGGTCGCAGTTGTAAATGAGAACTTGTTCTCAACTGGCTTACCTGGTTAAATAAGGTGAAATAAAAAATAAAAAAATGTATGGAATATTAAATTCAGTCAATAGTGGATATGATCATGTAAAAATGATGACAGCATGACAGTGAGAACAAAGCGTACGAAATTCCTCTAGTGAATTGAAGTCCTCTTGACTGCTGATAACAAAGGGCTTCGATCACAGACATCACATTAGTCTCAATTGCACTCTCTGCTGGACTTGAATCCCACTGACTGCATTCAGGGACAAGGGACTGCAATGATTCACCAGAGGACATGTTTTTAATGTGTAACACTATGGTGCATGACACTGTGATAAATGATGTAATGATGATGATATCAAATCCCTTAAATAGAAATACTTTAGCTTCAATATAGAATGTATTATATGCTATAGGACATGACATGTAACATGATATGACTGTCAACATGATCCTACATTTCAGGTTGTTAAACTGATTATAACAAAAAAAAATGAACCTATGTCCTTCTATTCCACATGGAAAGCTTGTGTTCAATATACCAGAACACATCTAAATGTAATTATATCAACGTCCCTTTGGTAGATCAGAATACACTGAAGCTCAGTGCTACTCTGTGTAAATAAAGACATTCTTATTTAATCTGAACTATATGGATCCTACAGTGACTGTTGATTCTGTTATTTCCAATAAGGGCGTTGGAGGTTCATGTGCTACATAAGTAACACTGGTTCTACTCATGAGATCAAGAGGCTATGATTATGACTTCAACAAAATAGTTACAATTTCGCATTAACACTGGAATGATAGACGTGCAAAAGATGATGTGCAAATAGAGATACTGGGGTGCAAATTAGCAAAATAAATAACAATATGGGGATGAGGTAGTTGGGTGGGCTAATTTCAGAATGGGCTGTGTACAGGTGCAGTGATCGGTAAGGTGCTCTGACAACTGATGCTTAAAGTTAGTGAGGGAGATTACCTCATACCCTGGTACATTGACTCGGTACTGGTACTCCATGTATAGTCTTGTTATTGTTTTCATTGTGCTACTATTTCCTTTTTTATTTAGAAAATATTTATCTTACTTTTTAAACTCTGCAATGTTGGGAATGGGCTCGTAAGTAAGCATTTCACTGTAAAGTCTACACCTGTTGTATACGGCACATGTGACCAATAAAACATGATTTGATTTAATGTGCACAACAATTAGTGCCAATTGCCTGTTGCCTAATTCAGCATATACTGTAAAGCACAGGAGGTTGGCAGCACCTTAATTGGGGAGGACGGGCCTTGGTAATGTCCGGAGCAGAGTAGGTGGAACGGTATCAACAACATCAATCACATTGGTTTCCATGTGTTTGATGCCATTCCATTTGCTTTATCTTGGCCAGGTCGCAGTTGTAAATGAGAACTTGTTCTCAACTGGCTTACCCTGGTTAAATAAAGGTGAAATAAATAAATAAAATAAATAAAAATAAATTTGCTCCGTTCCAGCCATTAATATGAGCCGTCCTCCCCTCAGCAGCTAATTAAAAGTATCCCTAAATAATCCCATCAATGATAGCCTAGTCCTGTCAATATCAACCATTCAATCATATTTGTGTCTAATGCTGATATTCTCTAAACCAGACGTTCTGAGGAAAATAAGTTGATTCTTCCTCTGTTTGTGCTATTTCTTTCGATTATAATGTATTGTTTTAATATTTAGACTAGACAATAGGCAGACCTATTAAAATGGGTTGGCCTCTACATAAAAGCCCTACATAAGTTTCATTAATGGAGCTCCCGATGATTTTCATGGTAAATTAACTAGAACAATCTTTATCGATGACAATTACATGTACAGGGTTTCATTCATGGTTTCTTTAGGTGACATTCGAAAATTGATCTGGTTTAATAAAGTTATAGTGAAATGACCTTGCGTTGTGCTGTATCGCATTAGTGGAAACCAAGACTGTTCTCAGGGCAAGTCTGCCGGTTTTGACTAGCAGAAGTGACTTTTTGCAGCAGGTTAGGAGAATTAACATGACAGAGTAGGATAATTACCGTAGCAGATTAGTAGAATTAGCTAAAATGTTAAAATTGCACCGGAAGCGACTCGAACATATCTAGCTACAACCAGGCCTGCCCTGGGAACAGTCTTGTTTTCCACTAATGCGATGCCGCTTTCATTTGTCGCAAAATCTTCATCCGGGAATCTGTAAACGCCGATTTGCGCGGTCGCAGTACTGTACGAAAGATTTTTTATAACTAACCCAAGATAGACCACAGCCTGTCGTTTCCAATGGGAGCAAACGAATCATAGTGGGCAGAACAAGCAAGGAGGTGGGCAGAGCCAAGCACGAACTAGTGAGATCCTATTGGCGCGTTCTTCCATTTATTTGCATATTTCCTGTAGGGAACGCCTAGTCTGTGCGTGTGCAATAACTCAATTCGCCCTTGCACTCCTAAACAACGCACTTTTTTGGGCAAAGGGTAAGTATACAAAGTTTATAAAACGCAGTCCACTCTGTTTGTTACATAATCTAGTTTTGAAAACAGAAAACTCTATGGAGATCAAATGTTTAATCGATGAGAAAATGAGCTGAATGTCGGCCAAAATCCATCTCGCTCCATCTTCTCCCACTGCCGGCCACTGGGCTTCCTCTCATCACCATATTTGGTATTGAGTGGAAACCCCCCAACCGGATGCTTCACATTTATATATACGGGGAAATATCTGGTCTCGTTGTTCTATCTGTGACTGCTGTGGTTCGACCTTCTGCAGTCGGTAAGTGTCTGAAGGGGGGCTATCTAAGAATTGTCCGTTGTAAATCCTTGTTAATCCTTCTTTAAAACAACACGTAGCACAATACAAGTGAGGGGTGCATATTGTACGGATTATTGTGTGCATTGGGCTGTCATTATTTTTACGGTCGTGCGTTTACAAACCTATTGACCTTATATCTGTCTTGTTGCAGAAAGACCCGGGCTTCAATCAAATTTGACCGACCAGGATAAAACAGACTCAATTGAAAATGTACGCCTGTGCAAAGTTCGTCTCCACGCCGGCTCTGGTGAGTTATTTTCCTCAATATGGTTAACCATGTTTATCTTACATCTGAAATCATATTCTCCGGTTGTATTCGGATGGGCCTGTGTTGAACTTGAATGGAACTGTCTGGCAAGGGTATTGGCTAACTAGCCAACGAACTTTAAATGGCTAACAGTAGCAAGTAAGCTTAGGTTTATGATTATGTAAGTGACATTATTTTAGTTTCCTAGCTGTTTGTGCACATTCGAGACTAGACCCTAAACCGGAGTTAGCTAGCCAGCTTGTTAGCTATAGCCTAACGTTAGTTAGCTATGAATAAGGTCAACATGACACTTGGCTTGCTTCAGCATCCCAAGTCTATCTGTAACGTTAATTTACCTAGTTAGTGACTTAACTAGCTAGTTAACTCTCCGGCCTGCTTTTTTTTCTTGAGCTGTCGCCTTCCCTTTTTGGGTTTGGAGCTCTCTGCCCAAGGTCATGTTTTACGTTATTAGAAACATTGCATGTTCAGGTAAAACATGCAACATGTCTAACAGGTTGTTTTACTGGTAAGGTAACTGTTTATGACATTAGCTTGTGCAAAGTGCACTCAGAAGGTTAGAGGAGTGGTGTTTTATCCTTGTACTGTTACCAGGTGGTGTTGAGGAATGACATGAATCTTAAATGCTTTTTGATGACTAAGCAGCTATGATGTTGGAATGAACAAGTTGTAATGTGTTGTTGTGGGTATGCATGTCTTGGTACAGCTCTATGATTTTCCCACAACCTCAATGACAGTGGCTCGCTACTGTCAAGGTGCCTCCCACAGGCCATGGTGCACTTGTGCTACCTTTCACAAGGGGAACCATAACACTTAGGCGTCTACTTGTCTTGAACTTTTTCTGTATTTCCTTCAAGATCTCCCAATAAATATATATATTTTTATTTTTTTCACTCAGTTATGTCCTTGTCCCTGCTGCAGGTCCGTGCTGGTTCCCGGGCCCTTTACAGACCCCTGTCTGCCTGTATGATGTCCAGGCCCGAGGTCAACACAGAGGTGAGGAAAGACTGTCTTCTTGCAGTACAGTAGGCTTTATACTCTTCACTGTTGAATATAACTCAAGGTTTTCTGTCCCGCTAATGGTCATTGATGTAGGAGTGCTTTTCCCATCACTAAGAAGAGGCACGTTTTTTTGTTTTTCAGAACAATGTAGCCGTCATGCCACAGAGCCCCTTCACCCAAGTAGCACTGAGAGGCTTCCAGACCAGTGCTGTGAGCAGGGACATTGACACAGCCGCCAAGTTCATTGGCGCTGGAGCAGCCACAGTCGGAGTGGCTGGATCCGGTGCTGGAATTGGAACAGTGTTTGGAAGTCTCATTATTGGATATGCCAGGTAAGTACACTTCTACAAAATAGATGACTAGATGTGTGCTTGTCAATGTCAGCTTTCAGAAAAACTATGATTCAAAGCTGACTTTTTACATAGAAATGGTTTTGTGTTGTTTTGCAGGAACCCATCTCTGAAGCAGCAGCTGTTCTCCTACGCTATCCTGGGATTCGCCCTGTCTGAAGCCATGGGTCTATTCTGTTTGATGGTTGCTTTCTTAATCTTGTTTGCTATGTAACACATCTACTGTCCATAGAAACACTAATTACAGATGTGACTACATATTTTATTGTGGCTACCAAAAAACGTTCCGTGTTGGTGTCATGGAAATGTATATTTTCAAGTCTGTCAGACAGTCAAAATAACCAAAAACATGTTTTGTAAAAATGTAAGAAATTACATAATTAAAATGCATGTATTTGACTATTTACAATATGGCAGTACGTTTTCTGTTTCGGAATCATGTTTCACCACAATCAAGAAGACGACTAGCTTCTGTTGAATGTCACCATGGGATTATACAAAGGAACTGCTTAACTTACTGTAAATCAGTCTGCTGCATTTGCCATTTTTCCAATGCATCATATGTTCACTTCTGTGGGTCCACATTGACGCTTTCGTTGGTTCAAGTGCAGTTCTATAGAAGTATGTAAGTAGGCAGCAAGTGAGCGCTTGCTTTTGTAAATGGCATTAAATAAATCTAGACAAATTTGATGGTGCTAAATAGTGGTCACTGGTCCAGTTTATTTGGGATGCTCTCTGAATGAAGGTGCGTAGTCTGTCAAAAAGCCTGCAGGTCTTGAAATGATTCACTTGACAATTGTACATTAGTGTTGGGTCCACGCTAAGCTTGCATAATGTTGGCTTATCCCTTAGTGACATATTCTAGAGCTTTAAGACACTTAAGAACACCAGATCCAATACATTGCCAAATCAGATGAGTCCCAGAAGAAATGGATCCATAGTGCAACGATTTCAAAAGAAAATTCCAACATTCTCATACAAATGCCATAATAGATCACAGCATTTGTAAAAGGAATATGTGTGTAGTTCCTGGAGATGGGTCACCCTTCATACCCAGGCTCCTAGTCGTCACATTTTCAAGACCTCGGGGTTGTGTTCATTTGGCACAGAACAGAAAACATTTAGAAACTGAGTATGGTACCTGATCTTGTCCAATAAGATTTCTCCTTTTCGCTTTCAGTTCGGAGATGTTTTGCCCTTTGTGTTTACCTGTGTTCCAGTGGAGGTAATTTCTCCATCCCACAGATCATTATAATACCATTTACCTTTTGTCACCTGGCTTTCCCTACCCTGGGCAGTATGTAGGCGACTTCTGTAATCAATACTCACTGTTCTGGTTGGATTCATTTCCCACTGCCTTCAACTGTGGTTGTAGTTTGTTCTACCAAAGACCGAAGAACCCCCTGTTCACCTGGACTCCCATGTCGATCGTTCCTTTACTCACCAAGCACTTCATACAAGATTGGATGCTCTAATAATCTGGACACCTTTATGTGTGTGAGCTTTATGCAATTTTTTTTGTTTCGTTGTGGTTGTCTGGACATTGACCCAGCACACTATCCACCACATCTATGCTGTCATATCCACATAAGGTCGTTGGAATTATCACAGCATTTCTTCTCATGACTAGCTATAAAGATAATTGAAATCGAGTATATTCTCAAATGTATTGTGAACAGATTTTTCTGCATTTATATAAAATTGCTGTTGCTGTCTGTAGTGAATAACTTACACGGAAGAGATTCTGCTCTCGCGAGAGTTGCACAGACGAGGGATTTCGATACCAAGGGTTGCGCCGGTGGGTAAGTGTCCACAAACTCAAGGCGATTGTACACAAAGATATCGCACGTGTACCGATTTCTTGGCATTAGTGGGGATTTAAGCGTTAAGAAAAATGTGTCTGATAAATGCACATCCTTCCTGTATTAACATGAGTAAATATAGCTACGGTACTATGCTTGCAGATGCTAAGTTACCCTGACTGAAGGCGGTGTGGATAGGACTAGCAAGCAAGCTAGTTGGTGATGCTGAGGAGGGGTGTGTAAACAAAACCACGCACATTGTGTTGTTAGCTTGCGCTGAATTTATTTCAACAATTCAAAATGATTGGGTTTCAACAGTTTTTTTCTGAATAAGCGCACTATGGCGTTGAGTGTCATCTTTCATAATTCGAGTTTCCCACTAACCATTTTGATAGAGATCTTTTTTCTATGACCAGCAATGTCTCTCACTCATCCTCCTGATTGAAAAATACCATGCATTTATTTACAAGAGAGGCAGTTGCCAACTTGCCATCAATAAGCTTTGTCCCCAAGATAAAATCTTTGAAAGAGCCTATAAGGTGATGATCATTGATCTGGGATGTTCTACCTACTAAAGTGCCAATCATTATTTTTTATTCCAGGTATAAAAGGAATTCCTAAATATGAGTGATGACAAACCGTTCTTATGTTCTGCTGTTGGGTGTGGTCAGGTATGTTTTTAAAAAAAGTCCCTGTGGTTTGCTTTGTGGTTATATATGAAAAGTGCAGTGTGTAAATGATATATGTATCATCTTTCCATAGCGATTTACAAATGAAGACCATTTGGCTGTCCACAAACACAAGCACGAGATGACACTAAAGTTTGGTCCAGCAAGAGACAACAGTGTCATAGTGGCCGGTAAGCACTACAAGAGGCATCAAATCAATTACTAAGTGGCAGTGGTGGAAAAAGTACCCAATTGTCATACTTGAGTAAAAGTAAAAGATACCTTAATAGAAAGTTAATCAATAAAAATGAAATTCACCCAGTAAAATACTACTTGAGTAAAAGTCTAAATGTATTTGAGTTTAAATATACTTAAGTTTCAAAAGTAAATGTAATTGCTAAAATATACTTAAGTATCAAAAGTAAAATTTATAAATTATTTCAAATTCCTTATATTAGGCAAAGCAGAAGGCACCATTTTCTTGTATTTTTATTAATGGATAGCCAGGGGCACATCAACACTCAGACATTATTTACAAAATATGCATTTGTGTTTAGTGAGTCTGCCAGACCATAGGCAGTAGGGATGACTACGTGTTCTCTTGATAAGTTCATGAATTTCACAATTTTCCTGTCCTGCTAAGCGTTCAAAATGTAACGTGTACTTTGGGTTGTCAAGGAAAATGTAAGGAGTAAAAAGTACAATATTTTCTTTAGGAATGTAGTGAAGTAAAAGTTGTCAAAAATATAAAAGTAAAGTAAAGTACAGATACCCTCAAAAAAACAACTTAAGTAGTACTTTAAAGTATTTTTACTTAAGTACTTTACACCACTGCTAAGTGATAGTATTCGTTCAAGTGATGTGTGAGAGAGATTGCCTTCTGTTGCAGACCAAACGCCAACACCTACACGCTTTTTGAAGAACTGTGAGGAAGTTGGACTCTTCAACGAGCTTACCAGTCCTTTGGTGCATGACTTCAAAAGAGCTGCTGTGTATGACATCAAAAAGGTGACTAGTTACTAGTCAGTAGTTCTATCAAGAATAACGCTCTTTACATTCGTAGCACAGTTTGCATCAAATTTGATCTTATCTGATCTGTTGGCATTTGTTTCTGACGTGTAGATGCCCTTGGATTTGTCACCTCTTGCCACACCGATGATCATACGAAACAAAATTGATGACCACTCAGTTGTGGCAGCACATCGGGACAGCCCTCTGCCCCATCCGGAATCTACAACAAGTGATGACAAGGTAAGGAATTTGGTATACTTCATACAGTGATATCCAGGTGAATTAGTTTATATAAATGTAGGCTAGATCCTAGTTTTCAATATTAGTTACTTGTGACACAGGCATCCGTTGTCTGTAGGGCAATTAATAATAATAATAATAATAATAATAATAATAATATGCCATTTAGCAGATGCTTTTATCCAAAGCGACTTACAGTCTTATGTGCATACATTTTTAGGTATGGGTGATCCCGGGGATCGAACCCACTACCCTGGCGTTACAAGCGCCATGCTCTACCAATTGAGCTACAGAGGACCACAATTCTAGGTCTTGACATACAGTGGGGAGAACAAGTATTTGATACACTGCCGATTTTGCAGGTTTTCCTACTTACAAAGCATGTAGAGGTCTGTAATTTTTATCATAGGTACACTTCAACTGTGAGAGACGGAATCTAAAACAAAAATCCAGAAAATCACATTGTATGATTTTTAAGTAAATGACAACGACCCGAAACACACAGCCAGGGCAACTAAGGAGTGGCTCCGTAAGAAGCATCTCAAGGTCCTGGAGTGGCCTAGCCAGTCTCCAGACCTGAACCCAATAGAAAATCTTTGGAGGGAGCTGAAAGTCCGTATTGCCCAGCGACAGCCCCAAAACCTGAAGGATCTGGAGAAGGTCTGTATTGAGGAGTGGGCCAAAATCCCTGCTGCAGTGTGTGCAAACCTGGTCAAGACCTACAGAAAACGTATGATCTCTGTAATTGCAAACAAAGGTTTCTGTACCAAATATTAAGTTCTGCTTTTCTGATGTATCAAATACTTATGTCATGCAATAAAATGCAAATTAATTACTTAAAAATAATACAATGTGATTTTCTGGATTTTTGTACATGCTTTGTAAGTAGGAAAACCTGCAAAATCGGCAGTGTATCAAATAATTGTTCTCCCCACTGTACATTTTGACATTTATAAACAACTATTGTCTCACCTTTTTAATATCCAGGGTTATATTAAACCTTCAACAGTTTGATTTAATTTAGAACAGTGTTACTTGAATGTTGAGCAACACTGCAGATGTGATTGCTGAAAAAGCAGTTGTCTTTGCTACCATGTAGGCTAACTAGACAGACGTGCTGCCATAATTATGGTCATACAGTATCCATGAACCCCCGTTGAATGGCTTACCAGAGATGTTGCTCAACAACATTGCAATAAGCTCCGAGTGAATTGTTCTCCAAAATGACCACCCAGTGTAACGGAGTTGATCTACTGTTTAAAATATTTTGTCATCGCAGCATGAGGTTTACCCACTTATGGTCATTTGCAGCACCTTTGAATAGTTTCTTCACAGACTAACCACTTTTACTAGGAGCTTTGTCTTCTGTTGAATAGTCTCACTGTAAGGCTTCATCCGATGAAACACTGATTTTCTTCCACTCTGCTTTGATTGATGGTTTCACTCCTTCATAAAAATAAGACAATACTGCCAGAACTGTACAAATGGTTTGGATAAAGAAATCACATTGGGCTATATTTTGTACACCAGACCCATAATAACTAGTCTATTATCAGTTAGTAATCTATCTTTTAATCTGTATTACAGGAATTAGACAAATCCAGGGCATTGTTTCGTAGTTGAAATCTAGAGAATGGTTTTCATTGAGCTACTAATGCAGCCAAGGTCTCGTATGATGTTTTCAGGAGGTATCTTTGCAGCCGACCTCACTGCCGACCTCTGCTATAGTCCATCCTCCATCCCTCCACGTCCCCAATGTACTCCTAGCAACCTCAGACGCTAGTGTTGTTATACAGCAAGCTCTCCCATCGCCAACGTCTAGCTCTGTAATTACCCAAGCCCCATCCACTAATAGGCCAATAGTGTAAGTAACTCAAAAATGTAACTTTATTTTGTTGATTTTTTATTTTTTGTTATTTTTTTAGCTTGAATTATTTTTGTGCTATTATGTCTTTATGATATTGCATTTCATGGTCAGATGGTTCATCGAAAAGTATAATCTTTGGTTTGTTGTCGTTGACCAATACTGGTACCTTTTATTGTATTAACACAAATCCATCTAATTAGGCTGTTAAGTTACGTTATGTTCCTTTGATTGCCTGTTAAGTTATTTTAAAAAAAATGTTGTGGTGTAAAGTGTATGATAATGTTCTTAAATTATATATTCTTTTAAAACTACATAATTGCTATTTGTTGTGTAACCCATAGTGTTTCTTCTCTCCAGTCCAGTCTCTGGCACGTTCCCAGTAATCTTACAGCTGCCTAATGGACAGACGATGCCCATCGCTATCCCAGCAACCATCGCATCCAGTCTGCCCAGACCAACCGCCATTCCTGTAAGTATTGCAAGTCATGCTTTATGGCGTTCCGTTGTGTATTTTGAATGTATGGAATTCCAATGAGCTGCACGATCACTCAGGCACATTTCCACTGGGCCAATACCCAGGCTCCAGTAGTTAATGTCATGTATCACCACTCTGCCCCCTAGAGGGTCACTATTTACTGCTTTGGCACTAGTGTCTTTGGCATGTGTTGCATAGGCAGGTGACGATGGGTGAACTAATGTGCCTTTTAGAAGAGAGCAGCTGTATGTTACCATGGCAAAGACCGTGAGTAGGCCAAACGGTTGCTATGTCCCCATCCAGAGTGCCTCACTGCCATTTGTCCTTGTACAATTTGAATCACCACACTTGACTTCTGGCAGACTGGATGGACTATGCCTGATGTTTGTCGCAAATCAATTAACATGGTGGTCTGGATATTACGTTTCAGTGTCCCTTGAGGACATTAGTTAATATATCCATATTAAAGGTGCTATAGAAGTCTCTCTGTCCCTAGTTCCCCCAGAGCCACGTCTCTCTGTCCCTAGTTCCCCCAGAGCCACGTCTCTCTGTCCCTAGTTCCCCCAGAGCCACGTCTCTCTGTCCCTAGTTCCCCCAGAGCCACGTCTCTCTGTCCCTAGTTCCCCCAGAGCCACGTGTCCCTGTCCCTAGTTCCCCCAGAGCCACGTCTCCCTGTCCCTAGTTCCCCCAGAGCCACGTCTCCCAGTCCCTAGTTCCGCCAGAGCCACGTCTCCCAGTCACTAGTCTGTGGGGAGCTGCTGATGAAAAAGGAAGAGAAGAGATCTCACTGCTGGGCCTCCTCTTCTCTCCCTCCTTTCATCCACAATTGTCTCTCTTTTTCCGTCCATCTCATTGTCAGGAGATGGTAGAATAGTCCCAGCTCTGGCCTTCAAGCTCGTCTCTCTCCATCCTTCTCCGTTTGCTCAGCCCCTTTGTCAATGCTCTCCACACAGACAGGCAGGAGGTCATTAGCGTGCATGGGGCATCTCCATGTGCTCTCCACACAGGCAGGCAGGAGGTCATTAGCGTACATGGGGCATCTCCATGTGCTCTCCACAAAGACAGGCAGGAGCTCATTAGCGTACATGGGGCATCTCCATGTGCTCTCCACACAGTAACAGGCCATCCAGTCTAATGAGGCTGAGATATGAGGAAAACTCTGAGCGTACGACGCTGTGTGTGTGAACATTGGGAGGGGATGGGGAAGGAGACTGATTCTCCTTGTGCTGGTCTCTGTGTGTGTGTCTGTGCGGTCAGCTTGTCAGACCCATCACCATAGTGCCTAACGTCCCCGGGATCCCTGGACCCCCCTCGCCACAAGCCGTCCAATCAGAAGCTAAGCTGGTAATGTTTCACTCGTATACCTAACATCAAGTGTTCCGTGCACATGTCTGCATGCCCCAAACTTCCTCAAATGTATAATATCAAATGTATCCACAAAATAATGTTATGTACTCTACATTTACAGTACAGACAATGGTGGTGAATACTGTAGGTTAATTCCACCTCAGAATGTAGTGTCTCTAGTCTCTGGCCCTGTGTATTAGTAGTGTCTCTAGTCTCTGGCCCTGTGTATTAGTAGTGTCTCTAGTCTCTGGCCCTGTGTATTAGTAGTGTCTCCAGTCTCTGGACCTGTGTATTAGTAGTGTCTCTAGTCTCTGGCCCTGTGTATTAGTAGTGTCTCTAGTCTCTGGCCCTGTGTATTAGTAGTGTCTCCAGTCTCTGGACCTGTGTATTAGTAGTGTCTCTGGCCCTGTGTATTAGTAGTGTCTCTGGCCCTGTGTATTAGTAGTGTCTCTAGTCTCTGGCCCTGTGTATTAGTAGTCTCCAGTATCTGGCCCTGTGTATTAGTAGTGTCTCTAGTCTCTGGCCCTGTGTATTAGTAGTGTCTCTAGTCTCTGGCCCTGTGTATTAGTAGTGTCTCTAGTCTCTGGCCCTGTGTATTAGTAGTGTCTCTGGCCCTGTGTATTAGTAGTGTCTCTAGTCTCTGGCCCTGTGTATTAGTAGTGTCTCTAGTCTCTGGCCCTGTGTATTAGTAGTGTCTCTAGTCTCTGGCCCTGTGTATTAGTAGTGTCTCTGGCCCTGTGTATTAGTAGTGTCTCTAGTCTCTGGCCCTGTGTATTAGTAGTGTCTCCAGTCTTGGCCCTGTGTATTAGTAGTGTCTCCAGTCCTCTGGCCCTGTGTATTAGTAGTGTCTCTAGTCTCTGGCCCTGTGTATTAGTAGTGTCTCCAGTGTCTGGCCCTGTGTATTAGTAGTGTCTCCAGTCTCTGGCCCTGTGTATTAGTAGTGTCTCTGGCCCTGTGTATTAGTAGTGTCTCTAGTCTCTGGCCCTGTGTATTAGTAGTGTCTCTAGTCTCTGGCCCTGTGTATTAGTAGTGTCTCTAGTCTCTGGCCCTGTGTATTAGTAGTGTCTCTAGTCTCTGGCCCTGTGTATTAGTAGTGTCTCCAGTCTCTGGCCCTGTGTATTAGTAGTGTCTCTGGCCCTGTGTATTAGTAGTGTCTCTAGTCTCTGGCCCTGTGTATTAGTAGTGTCTCCAGTCTCTGGCCCTGTGTATTAGTAGTGTCTCTGGCCCTGTGTATTAGTAGTGTCTCTGGGCCCTGTGTATTAGTAGTGTCTCTAGTCTCTGGCCCTGGGTATTAGGCCCTTAAGTGTCTCTAGTCTCTGGCCCTGTGTATTAGTAGTGTCTCTAGTCTCTGGCCCTGTGTATTAGTAGTGTCTCCAGTCTCTGGCCCTGTGTATTAGTAGTGTCTCTAGTCTCTGGCCCTGTGTATTAGTAGTGTCTCTAGTCTCTGGCCCTGTGTATTAGTAGTGTCTCTAGTCTCTGGCCCTGTGTATTAGTAGTGTCTCTAGTCTCTGGCCCTGTGTATTAGTAGTGTCTCTAGTCTCTGGCCCTGTGTATTAGTAGTGTCTCCAGTCTCTGGCCCTGTGTATTAGTAGTGTCTCCAGTCTCTGGCCCTGTGTATTAGTAGTGTCTCCAGTCTCTGGCCCTGTGTATTAGTAGTGTCTCTGGCCCTGTGTATTAGTAGTGTCTCTAGTCTCTGGCCCTGTGTATTAGTAGTGTCTCTGGCCCTGTGTATTAGTAGTGTCTCTGGCCCTGTGTATTAGTAGTGTCTCTAGTCTCTGGCCCTGTGTATTAGTAGTGTCTCTGGCCCTGTGTATTAGTAGTGTCTCCAGTGTCTGGCCCTGTGTATTAGTAGTGTCTCTAGTCTCTGGCCCTATGTATTAGTAGTGTCTCTAGTCTCTGGCCCTGTGTATTAGTAGTGTCTCTAGTCTCTGGCCCTGTGTATTAGTAGTGTCTCTGGCCCTGTGTATTAGTAGTGTCTCCAGTCTCTGGCCCTGTGTATTAGTAGTGTCTCTTGCCCTGTGTATTAGTAGTGTCTCTGGCCCTGTGTATTAGTAGTGTCTCTAGTCTCTGGCCCTGTGTATTAGTAGTGTCTCCAGTCTCTGGCCCTGTGTATTAGTAGTGTCTCTGGCCCTGTGTATTAGTAGTGTCTCTGGCCCTGTGTATTAGTAGTGTCTCTAGTCTCTGGCCCTGTGTATTAGTAGTGTCTCCAGTCTCTGGTCCTGTGTATTAGTAGTGTCTCTAGTCTCTGGCCCTGTGTATTAGTAGTTTCTCTAGTCTCTGGCCCTGTGTATTAGTAGTGTCTCTAGTCTCTGGCCCTGTGTATTAGTAGTGTCTCTAGTCTCTGGCCCTGTGTATTAGTAGTGTCTCTAGTCCTCTGGCCCTGTGTATTAGTAGTGTCTCCAGTCTCTGGCCCTGTGTATTAGTAGTGTCTCTAGTCTCTGGCCCTGTGTATTAGTAGTGTCTCCAGTCTCTGGCCCTGTGTATTAGTAGTGTCTCTGGCCCTGTGTATTAGTAGTGTCTCCAGTCTCTGGCCCTGGGTATTAGTAGTGTCTCTGGCCCTGTGTATTAGTAGTGTCTCTAGTCTCTGGCCCTGTGTATTAGTAGTGTCTCTAGTCTCTGGCCCTATATATTAGTAGTGTCTCTAGCCCTGTGTATTAGTAGTGTCTCTGGCCCTGTGTATTAGTAGCGTCTCTAGTCTCTGGCCCTGTGTATTAGTAGTGTCTCTGGTCTCTGGCCCTGTGTATTAGTAGTTCTCTGGCCCTGTGTATTAGTAGTGTCTCTGGCCCTGTGTATTAGTAGTGTCTCCAGTCTCTGGCCCTGTGTATTAGTAGTGTCTCTGGCCCTGTGTATTAGTAGTGTCTCCAGTGTCTGGCCCTGTGTATTAGTAGTGTCTCTGGCCCTGTGTATTAGTAGTGTCTCTTGTCTCTGGCCCTGTGTATTAGTAGTGTCTCCAGTCTCTGGCCCTGTGTATTAGTAGTGTCTCCAGTCTCTGGCCCTGTGTATTAGTAGTGTCTCCAGTGTCTGGCCCTGTGTATTAGTAGTGTCTCCAGTCTCTGGCCCTGTGTATTAGTAGTGTCTCTGGCCCTGTGTATTAGTAGTGTCTCCAGTCTCTGGCCCTGTGTATTAGTAGTGTCTCCAGTCTCTGGCCCTGTGTATTAGTAGTGTCTCTAGTCTCTGGCCCTGTGTATTAGTAGTGTCTCTGGCCCTGAATATTAGTAGTGTCTCTGGCCCTGTGTATTAGTAGTGTCTCTAGTCTCTGGCCCTGTGTATTAGTAGTGTCTCCAGTCTCTGGCCCTGTGTATTAGTAGTGTCTCCAGTCTCTGGCCCTGTGTATTAGTAGTGTCTCTGGCCCTGTGTATTAGTAGTGTCTCTAGTCCTCTGGCCCTGTGTATTAGTAGTGTCTCTGGCCCTGTGTATTAGTAGTGTCTCTAGTCTCTGGCCCTGTGTATTAGTAGTGTCTCCAGTCTCTGGCCCTGTGTATTAGTAGTGTCTCTGGCCCTGTGTATTAGTAGTGTCTCTAGTCTCTGGCCCTGTGTATTAGTAGTGTCTCCAGTCTCTGGCCCTGTGTATTAGTAGTGTCTCTGGCCCTGTGTATTAGTAGTGTCTCTAGTCTCTGGCCCTGTGTATTAGTAGTGTCTCCAGTCTCTGGCCCTGTGTATTAGTAGTGTCTCTAGTCTCTGGCCCTGTGTATTAGTAGTGTCTCTAGTCTCTGGCCCTGTGTATTAGTAGTGTCTCTAGTCTCTGGCCCTGTGTATTAGTAGTGTCTCTAGTCTCTGGCCCTGTGTATTAGTAGTGTCTCTAGTCTCTGGCCCTGTGTATTAGTAGTGTCTCTGGCCCTGTGTATTAGTAGTGTCTCTAGTCTCTGGCCCTGTGTATTAGTAGTGTCTCCAGTCTCTGGCCCTGTGTATTAGTAGTGTCTCCAGTCTCTGGCCCTGTGTATTAGTAGTGTCTCTAGTCTCTGGCCCTGTGTATTAGTAGTGTCTCCAGTCTCTGGCCCTGTGTATTAGTAGTGTCTCTGGCCCTGTGTATTAGTAGTGTCTCCAGTCTCTGGCCCTGGGTATTAGTAGTGTCTCTGGCCCTTTGTATTAGTAGTGTCTCTAGTCTCTGGACCTGTGTATTAGTAGTGTCTCTAGTCTCTGGCCCTGTGTATTAGTAGTGTCTCTAGCCCTGTGTATTAGTAGTGTCTCTGGCCCTGTGTATTAGTAGTGTCTCTGGCCCTGTGTATTAGTAGTGTCTATAGTCTCTGGCCCTGTGTATTAGTAGTGTCTCCAGTCTCTGGCCCTGTGTATTAGTAGTGTATCTAGTCTCTGGCCCTGTGTATTAGTAGTGTCTCTAGCCATGTGTATTAGTAGTGTATCTGGCCCTGTGTATTAGTAGTGTCTCTGGCCCTGTGTATTAGTAGTGTCTCTGGCCCTGTGTATTAGTAGTGTCCTCTGGCCCTGTGTATTAGTAGTGTCTCCAGTCTCTGGCCCTGTTATATTAGTGTCCTCTAGTCTCTGGCCCTGTGTATTAGTAGTGGTCCTCCAGTCTCTGGCCCTGTGTATTAGTAGTGTCTCTGGCCCTGTGTATTAGTAGTGTCTCTGGCCCTGTGTATTAGTAGTGTCTCTGGCCCTGTGTATTAGTAGTGTCTCCAGTCTCTAGCCCTGTGTATTAGTAGTGTCTCCAGTCTCTGTCCCTGTGTATTAGTAGTGTCTCTAGTCTCTGGCCCTGTGTATTAGTAGTGTCTCTGGCCCTGTGTATTAGTAGTGTCTCTGGCCCTGTGTATTAGTAGTGTCTCTAGTCTCTGGCCCTGTGTATTAGTAGTGTCTCTAGTCTCTGGCCCTGTGTATTAGTAGTGTCTCTAGTCTCTGGCCCTGTGTATTAGTAGTGTCTCTGGCCCTGTGTATTAGTAGTGTCTCTAGTCTCTGGCCCTGTGTATTAGTAGTGTCTCCAGTCTCTGGCCCTGTGTATTAGTAGTGTCTCCAGTCTCTGGCCCTGTGTATTAGTAGTGTCTCTAGTCTCTGGCCCTGTGTATTAGTAGTGTCTCCAGTGTCTGGCCCTGTGTATTAGTAGTGTCTCCAGTCTCTGGCCCTGTGTATTAGTAGTGTCTCTGGCCCTGTGTATTAGTAGTGTCTCTAGTCTCTGGCCCTGTGTATTAGTAGTGTCTCTAGTCTCTGGCCCTGTGTATTAGTAGTGTCTCTGGCCGTGTGTATTAGTAGTGTCTCTAGTCTCTGGCCCTGTGTATTAGTAGTGTCTCTGGCCCTGTGTATTAGTAGTGTCTCTAGTCTCTGGCCCTGTGTATTAGTAGTGTCTCCAGTCTCTGGCCCTGTGTATTAGTAGTGTCTCTGGCCCTGTGTATTAGTAGTGTCTCTGGCCCTGTGTATTAGTAGTGTCTCTAGTCTCTGGCCCTGTGTATTAGTAGTGTCTCTAGTCTCTGGCCCTGTGTATTAGTAGTGTCTCTAGTCTCTGGCCCTGTGTATTAGTAGTGTCTCCAGTCTCTGGCCCTGTGTATTAGTAGTGTCTCTAGTCTTTGGCCCTGTGTATTAGTAGTGTCTCTAGTCTCTGGCCCTGTGTATTAGTAGTGTCTCTAGTCTCTGGCCCTGTGTATTAGTAGTGTCTCTAGTCTCTGGCCCTGTGTATTAGTAGTGTCTCTAGTCTCTGGCCCTGTGTATTAGTAGTGTCTCCAGTCTCTGGCCCTGTGTATTAGTAGTGTCTCTAGTCTCTGGCCCTGTGTATTAGTAGTGTCTCTGGCCCTGTGTATTAGTAGTGTCTCCAGTGTCTGGCCCTGTGTATTAGTAGTGTCTCTAGTCTCTGGCCCTGTGTATTAGTAGTGTCTCTAGTCTCTGGCCCTGTGTATTAGTAGTGTCCTCTAGTCTCTGGCCCTGTGTATTAGTAGTGTCTCCAGTGTCTGGCCCTGTGTATAGTAGTGTCCTCCAGTCTCTGGCCCTGTGTATTAGTAGTGTCTCTAGTCTCTGGCCCTGTGTATTAGTAGTGTCTCTAGTCTCTGGCCCTGTGTATTAGTAGTGTCTCTAGTCTCTGGCCCTGTGTATTAGTAGTGTCTCTGGCCCTGTGTATTAGTAGTGTCTCCAGTCTCTGGCCCTGTGTATTAGTAGTGTCTCTGGCCCTGTGTATTAGTAGTGTCTCTGGCCCTGTGTATTAGTAGTGTCTCTTGTCTCTGGCCCTGTGTATTAGTGTCTCCAGTCTCTGGCCCTGTGTATTAGTAGTGTCTCCAGTCTCTGGCCCTGTGTATTAGTAGTGTCTCCAGTGTCTGGCCCTGTGTATTAGTAGTGTCTCCAGTCTCTGGCCCTGTGTATTAGTAGTGTCTCTGGCCCTGTGTATTAGTAGTGTCTCTAGTCTCTGGCCCTGTGTATTAGTAGTGTCCTCCAGTCTCTGGCCCGTGTATTAGTAGTGCCCTCTGGCCCTGTGTATTAGTATGTCTCTGGCCCTGTGTATTAGTAGTGTCTCTAGTCTCTGGCCCTGTGTATTAGTAGTGTCTCTAGTCTCTGGCCCTGTGTATTAGTAGTGTCTCTAGTCCTGGCCCTGTGTATTAGTAGTGTCTCCAGTCTCTGGCCCTGTGTATTAGTAGTGTCTCTAGTCTTTGGCCCTGTGTATTAGTAGTGTCCTCTAGTCTCTGGCCCTGTGTATTAGTAGTGTCTCTAGTCTCGGCCCTGTGTATTAGTAGTGTCTCTAGTCTCTGGCCCTGTGTATTAGTAGTGTCTCTAGTCTCTGGCCCTGTGTATTAGTAGTGTCTCCAGTCTCGGGCCCCTGTGTTTAGTAGTGTCTCTAGTCTCTGGCCCTGTGTATTAGTAGTGTCTCTAGTCTCTGGCCCTGTGTATTAGTATTGTCTCTAGTCCTCTGGCCCTGTGTATTAGTAGTGTCTCTGGCCCTGTGTATTAGTAGTGTCTCCAGTCTCTGGCCCTGTGTATTAGTAGTGTCTCTGGCCCTGTGTATTAGTAGTGTCTCCAGTGTCTGGCCCTGTGTATTAGTAGTGTCTCTGGCCCTGTGTATTAGTAGTGTCTCTTGTCTCTGGCCCTGTGTATTAGTGTCTCCAGTCTCTGGCCCTGTGTATTAGTAGTGTCTCCAGTCTCTGGCCCTGTGTATTAGTAGTGTCTCCAGTGTCTGGCCCTGTGTATTAGTAGTGTCTCCAGTCTCTGGCCCTGTGTATTAGTAGTGTCTCTGGCCCTGTGTATTAGTAGTGTCTCTAGCCCTGTGTATTAGTAGTGTCTCTGGCCCTGTGTATTAGTAGTGTCTCCAGTCTCTGGCCCTGTGTATTAGTAGTGTCTCTGGCCTGTGTATTAGTAGTGTCTCTGGCCCTGTGTATTCGTAGTGTCTCTTGTCTCGGGCCCCGTTGTATTAGTAGTGTCTCTGGCCCTGTGTATTAGTAGTGTCTCTAGTCTCTGGCCCTGTTTATTAGTAGTGGTCTCTAGTCTCTGGCCCCTGTGTATTAGTAGTGTCTCCAGTCTCTGGGCCCTTTGTATTAGTAGTGTCTCTAGTCTCTGGCCCTGTGTATTAGTAGTGTCCTTCCATCTCTGGCCCTGTGTATTAGTAGTGTCTCCAGTCTCTGGCCTGTGTATTAGTAGTGGGTCTCTAGTCCTCTGGCCCTGTGTATAGTAGTGTCTCCAGTCTCTGGCCCTGTGTATTAGTAGTGTCTCTAGTCTCTGGCCCTGTGTTTAGTAGTGTCTCCATCTCTGTCCCTGTGTATTAGTATGTCTCTAGTCTCTGGCCCTGTGTATTAGTAGTGTCTCTGGCCCTGTTGTATAGTAGTGTCTCCAGTCTCTGGCCCTGTGTATTAGTAGTGTCCTCTGGCCCTTGTATTGTAGTGTCTTCTAGTCTCTGGCCCTGTGGGTATTGTAGTGTCTCTGGCCACTGTGTATTAGTAGTGTCCTCTAGGTCCTCTGGCCCATGTGTATTAGTAGGTCTCTAGTCTCTGGCCCTGTTGTATTAGTAGTGTCTCTAGTCTCTGGCCCTGTGTATTAGTAGTGTCTCCAGTCTCTGTCCCTGTGTCTTAGTCGTGTCTCTAGTCTCTGGCCCTGTGTATTAGTAGTGTCGCTAATCTCTGTCCCGTGTGATTAGTAGTGTCTCCAGTTTTCTGGCCCTGTGTATTAGTAGTGTCTCTGGCCCTGTGTATTAGTAGTGTATCCAGTCTCTGGCCCTGTGTATTAGTATTGTCTCCAGTCTCTGGCCCTGTGTTTAGTAGTAGTGTCTCTGGCCCGTGTGTATTAGTAGTGTCTCTGGCCCTGTTGTATTAGTAGTGTCTCTGGCCCTGTGTATTAGTAGTGTCTCTAATCTCTGTCCCTGTGTATTAGTAGTGTCTCCAGTTTCTGGCCCTGTGTATTAGTAGTGTCTCTGGCCCTGTGTATTAGTAGTGTCTCCAGTCTCTAGCCCTGTGTATTAGTAGGTTCTCCAGTCTCTGGCCCTGTGTATTAGTAGTGTCTCTGGCCCTGTGTATTAGTAGTGTCTCTAGTCTCTGGCCCTGTGTATTAGTAGTGTCTCCAGTCTCTGGCCCTGTGTATTAGTAGTGTCTCTGGCCCTGTGTATTAGTAGTGTCTCCAGTCTCTGGCCCTGTATATTAGTAGTGTCTCTAGTCTCTGGCCCTGTGTATTAGTAGTGTCTCTGGCCTTGTGTATTAGTAGTATTTCCAGTCTCTGGCCCTTTGTATTAGTAGTGTCTCTAGTCTCTGGCCCTGTGTATTAGTAGTGTCCCTGGCCCTGTGTATTAGTAGTGTCTCTGGCCCTGTGTATTAGTAGTGTCTCTGGCCCTGTGTATTAGTAGTGTCTCCAGTCTCTGGCCCTGTGTATTAGTAGTGTCTCTAGTCTCTGGCCCTGTGTATTAGTAGTGTCTCCAGTCTCTGGCCCTGTGTATTAGTAGTGTCTCCAGTCTCTGGCCCTGTGTATTAGTAGTGTCTCTAGTCTCTGGCCCTGTGTATTAGTAGTGTCTCTGGCCCTGTGTATTAGTAGTGTCTCTAGTCTCTGGCCCTGTGTATTAGTAGTGTCTCTGGCCCTGTGTATTAGTAGTGTCTCTAGTCTCTGGCTCTGTGTATTAGTAGTGTCTCCAGTCTCTGGCCCTGTGTATTAGTAGTGTCTCTGGCCCTGTGTATTAGTAGTGTCTCCAGTCTCTGGCCCTGTGTATTAGTAGTGTCTCTAGTCTCTGGCCCTGTGTATTAGTAGTGTCTCTGGCCCTGTGTATTAGTAGTGTCTCTAGTCTCTGGCCCTGTGTATTAGTAGTGTCTCCAGTCTCTGGCCCTGTGTATTAGTAGTGTCTCTGGCCCTGTTTATTAGTAGTGTCTCCAGTCTCTGGCCCTGTGTATTAGTAGTGTCTCCAGTCTCTGGCCCTGTGTATTAGTAGTGTCTCTGGCCCTGTGTATTTGTAGTGTCTCTGGCCCTGTGTATTAGTAGTGTCTCTGGCACTGTTTATTAGTAGTGTCTCCAGTCTCTGGCCCTGTGTATTAGTAGTTTCTCTGGCCCTGTGTATTAGTAGTGTCTCTAGTCTCTGGCCCTGTGTATTAGTAGTGACTCTAGTCTCTGGCCCTGTGCATTAGTGGTGTCTCTAGTCTCTGGCCCTGTGTATTAGTAGTGTCTCTGGCCCTGTGTATTAGTAGTGTCTCTGGCCCTGTGTATTAGTAGTGTCTCTAGTCTCTGGCCCTGTGTATTAGTAGTGTCCCTGGCCCTGTGTATTAGTAGTGTCTCCAGTCTCTGGCCCTGTGTATTAGTAGTGTCCCATGTCCCTGTGTATTAGTAGTGTCTCTGGCCCTGTGTATTACTAGTTTCTCAAGTCTCTGGCCCTGTGTATTAGTGGTGTCTCTAGTCTCTGGCCCTGTGTATTAGTAGTGTATCTAGTCTCTGGCCCTGTGTATTAGTAGTGTCTCCAGTCTCTGGCCCTGTGTATTAGTAGTGTCTCTAGTCTCTGGCCCTGTGTATTAGTAGTGTCTCTGGCCCTGTGTATTAGTAGTGTCTCTGGCCCTGTGTATTGGTAGTGTCTCCAGTCTCTGGCCCTGTGTATTAGTAGTGTCTCTGGCCCTTGTATTTAGTAGTGTCTCTAGTCTCTGGCCCTGTGTATTAGTAGTGACTCTAGTCTCTGGCCCTGTGTATTTGTAGTGTCTCTAGTCTCTGGCCCTGTGTTTAGAAAGTGTCTCTGGCCCTGTGTATTAGTAGTGTCTCTGGCCCTGTGTATTAGTAGTGTCTCTGGCCCTGTGTATTAGTAGTGTCTCCAGTCTCTGGCCCTGTATATTAGTAGTGTCTCTGGCCGTGTGTATTAGTAGTGTCTCTAGTCTCTGGCCCTGTGTATTAGTAGTGTCTCTAGTCTCTGGCCCTGTGTATTAGTAGTGTCTCTAGTCTCTGGCCCTGTGTATTAGTAGTGTCTCTGGCCGTGTTTTATTAGTAGTGGTCTCTAGCCTCTGCCCTGTGTATTAGTAGTGTCTCTAGTCTCTGGCCCTGTGTATTAGAAATGTCTCTGGCCGTGTGTATTAGTAGTGTCTCTAGCCTCTGGCCCTGTGTATTAGTAGTGTCTCCAGTCTCTGGCCCTGTGTATTAGTAGTGTCTCTAGTGTCTGGCCCTGTGTATTAGTATGTCTCCAGTCTCTGGCCCTGTGTATTAGTAGTTCTCTGGCCCTGTGTATTAGTAGTGTCTCCAGTCTCTGGCCCTGTGTATTAGTAGTGTCTCTGGCCCTGTGTATTAGTAGTGTCTCCAGTCTCTGGCCCTGTGTATTAGTAGTGTCTCTAGTCTCTGGCCCTGTGTATTAGTATTTGTCTCTGGCCCTGTGTATTAGTAGTGTCTCCAGTCTCTGGCCCTTTTGTATTAGTAGTGTCTCTAGTCTCTGGCCCTGTGTATTAGTAGTGTATCCAGTCTCTGGCCCTGTGTATTAGTAGTGTCTCTAGTCTCTGGCCCTGTGTATTAGTATGTCTCTGGCCGTGTGTATTATTAGTGTCTCTAGTCTCTGGCCCTGTGTATTAGTAGTGTCTCCAGTCTCTGGCCCTGTGTATTAGTAGTGTCTCCAGTCTCTGGCCCTGTGTATTAGTAGTGTCTCTGGCCCTGTGTATTAGTAGTGTCTCCTGCCCTGTGTATTAGTAGTGTCTCCAGTCTCTGGCCCTGTGTATTAGTGGTGTCTCTAGTCTCTGGCCCTGTGTATTAGTAGTGACTCTAGTCTCTGGCCCTGTGTATTAGTAGTGTCTCTAGCCCTGTGTATTAGTAGTGTCTCTAGTCTCTGGCCCTGTGTATTAGTAGTGTCTCTAGTCTCTGGCCCTGTGTATTAGTAGTGTCTCTGGCCCTGTGTATTAGTAGTGTCTCTGGCCCTGTGTATTAGTAGTGTCTCTGGCCCTGTGTATTAGTAGTGTCTCTGGCCCTGTGTATTAGTAGTGTCTCTGGCCCTGTGTATTAGTAGTGTCTCTGGCCCTGTGTATTAGTAGTGTCTCTGGCCGTGTGTATTAGTAGTGTCTCTAGTCTCTGGCCCTGTGTATTAGTAGTGTCTCCAGTCTCTGGCCCTGTGTATTAGTAGTGTCTCCAGTCTCTGGCCCTGTGTATTAGTAGTGTCTCCAGTCTCTGGCCCTGTGTATTAGTAGTGTCTCCAGTCTCTGGCCCTGTGTATTAGTAGTGTCTCCAGTCTCTGGCCCTGTGTATTAGTAGTGTCTCTGGCCCTGTGTATTAGTAGTGTCTCTAGCCTCTGGCCTGTGTATTAGTAGGGTCTCCAGTCTCTGGCCCTGTGTATTAGTAGTGTCTCCAGTCTCTGGCCCTGTGTATTAGTAGTGTCTCCAGTCTCTGGCCCTGTGTATTAGTAGTGTCTCCAGTCTCTGGCCCTGTGTATTAGTAGTGTCTCTAGTCTCTGGCCCTGTGTATTAGTAGTGTCTCCAGTCTCTGGCCCTGTGTATTAGTAGTGTCTCCAGTCTCTGGCCCTGTGTATTAGTAGTGTCTCCAGTCTCTGGCCCTGTGTATTAGTAGTGTCTCTGGCCCTGTGTATTAGTAGTGTCTCCAGTCTCTGGCCCTGTGTATTAGTAGTGTCTCTAGTCTCTGGCCCTGTGTATTAGTAGTGTCTCTAGTCTCTGGCCCTGTGTATTAGTAGTGTCTCTAGTCTCTGGCCCTGTGTATTAGTAGTGTCTCCAGTCTCTGGCCCTGTGTATTAGTAGTGTCTCTGCCCTGTGTATTAGTAGTGTCTCTGGCCCTGGGTATTAGTAGTGTCTCCAGTCTCTGGCCCTGTGTATTAGTAGTGTCTCTAGTCTCGGCCCTGTGTATTAATAGTGTCTCTAGTCTCTCTGGCCCTGTGTATTAGTAGTGTCTCTAGTCTCTGGCCCTGTGTATTAGTAGTGTCTCTAGTCCTCTGGCCCTGTGTATTAGTAGTGTCTCCAGTCTCTGGCCCTGTGTATTAGTAGTGTCTCCAGTCTCTGGCCCTGTGTATTATAGTGTCTCTAGTCTCTAGCCCTGTGTATTAGTAGTGTCTCCAGTCTCGGGCCCCTGTGTATTAGTAGTGTCTCCAGTCTCTGGCCCTGTTATTAGTAGTGTCTCTGGCCCTGTGTATTAGTAGTGTCTCGGCCCTGTGTATTAGTAGTGTCTCCAGTCTCTGGCCCTGTGTATTAGTAGTGTCTCTAGTTTTCTGGCCCTGTGTATTAGTAGTGTCTCTAGTCTCTGGCCCTGTGTATTAGTAGTGTCTCTAGTCTCTGGCCCTGTGTATTAGTAGTGTCTCTAGTCTCTGGCCCTGTGTATTAGTAGTGTCTCCAGTCTCTGGCCCTGTGTATTAGTAGTGTCTCCAGTCTCTGGCCCTGTGTATTAGTAGTGCCCTCTAGTCTCTAGCCCTGGGGTATTAGTAGTGTCTCGGGCCCCCTGTGTATTAGTAGTGTCTCTGGCCCTGTGTATTAGTAGTGTCTCTGGCCCTGTGTATTAGTAGTGTCTCTAGTCTCTGGCCCTGTGTATTAGTAGTGTCTCCAGTCTCTGGCCCTGTGTATTAGTAGTGTCTCCAGTCTCTGGCCCTGTGTATTAGTAGTGTCTCTAGTCTCTCATTCATCTATGAACATAGTCATGATTCTCATATCCATGTAGTTTTGGTTTCAACTCAAACATAAGATCTCTACATTGCAGAAAGGTTTTATCTCGTGTCTCGTGTTCTTTTCTCCCCCTAGAAGCTGAGAGCCGTAGTGAGCCAGCAGCTCCCTCAGGTAACCAATGAAGATGCTGGTGTTGTCCAGAGCAGTGCTGTGACCCACATTGCAGCCCTGGCTCCAGCCTTGACCCCTTCCCCTGGTCCAGCCACATCACCTGCCCCTCCCCCGGTCCCGCCTGAGGAACCCAGCCCCCAGCCCCTCCAGCAGCCTGCCACCTCCACCACTGAGACGCCTGTGAGTACAATACCACAACTGGCCATCAGAGGGGGCTATGCTTACTTCGGCCATTCCACAACTACAGTCATTGAAGTACTTGTATCAGTGTATAGTATTACCTTGACGAATTCTACATGATTTCACTCTATATCAGTGGTTCCCAAACTGTGGGGCACAGGAACTCCTGCTCTATGCAACCCTCTGTGATTGAGGGTTTGTTTTTCCGTGATGTTGTTGTCTGTTAAAGAGCTTTGATAGTTTGGTTGTGATGTTTGCTGCTCTTTCTGTTCCCTATGGTGTCCAAGACGCCCCCTGCCCAGCACACCCCGATCACAGGGGGCCGGCGGCGCAGAGCCACCAGCGAGGACCCGGACGAGAAGAGGCGCAAGTTCCTGGAACGCAACCGAGCAGCGGCGTCCCGCTGCAGACAGAAGAGGAAGGTCTGGTTGTCTTCACTGGAGAAGAAGGCTGAGGACCTCAACTCTATGAACGGACAACTACAGGTATACTCCCAGTCGGTATTAGACAGAGGTGAGACCAAGTCACTATTATTAGAGTTTCAATCAAGTCACAAGGTCCAAGTCTCGAGTCAAGTCCAAGTCGTGCATTTAAAGAGCGAGTCGAGTCACACGTTTTTTCAAGTCAAGTCTCAAGTCTAGTAAAAAAAATAAAAATAAAGGATACATGCAACGACTTGTTCAACTACAGATGTTTGTCTATTTATTGAGGCTACCAGACAGCCCTTTTCATGATTTAGTCTACAACACATTTTGATTATGTAATTGTAAAATATGGACCTTGTAGCATTCATAAGGGCATGAAATCAGCAGAAGTCAAGGCAGGTTGACGTGCTCAGAGTGTAGATTTATTTACAGGTCTTGGTGATCTAATGGTGAAAGAGCCAAATCATTCATAATATATAAGTAGATTTACCAAATATACACGGGCAATAGCCCAAAAGAAATATCCTCTGTATCAGGCTTAACCTGTCCTATCTGAACAGACACAGGTAGAGGGAAAGACTGCACAGCCTCCCCTTGAGAAACCAAATGGAATCTGTCAGGAGCTCGACAGGTACATATCAGCACTTGGCCCTTCCCAGGACCAAACAATTACCCAATTGGCAATTACAACCAATAAACTGGTTCTACAATGTAAAAGGCAATTTCAAAATCCATTGGTACATTCGTCTTAATCAGATTTAACGATTATTAATTATATTTCATCACCATTCATAAAACAACAATCATTTTCTCTTATTCATGTACTGACTCCAAAGCGTGACGCGGAGGCCACGTAATCTATTTCTATGCGCACTGAGTTGCCCGCGCTCCTATTTCTCACAACCAGTAGCAACCCGCATGCCCCGCCCACCTGAGGATCTGTCTTTTTCAGCAATCTATTTCCTGTGTTTGAGGGGTGCAAAATCCACTTGTCACTTAAATCTCGCTTAATTGATTGCTTACATTTTACTCCTGCAACTCTTTTATACTCTTGCTTGTGCCTGTCGTTTTTTTTTCTCCCATTAACGTTACGACCTCAGAAATGTTTGTAATGACCTGTCAAACACACCCCTGGTAATGGCTGAAATGGGCTCAATGGAATTCACTAGCTGTGTTCGAATACCCATACTAACATACTGTATACTACATACTTAATGAGTATATACTACATACTATATACCAATAGTTCGTTTTAGTATACTGTAAACAAACAGTTTCCTTTCAAGTTGAGCCTACTAGAGCTTCGCCTGTCTACCGGAAGTTGATGCTGTTGCTATGCAACCTCTTGCTAGCTTGTTAGCATAACAAATTACTAGCTACACATTTTACGACTTCGGGTGTGTTTCGTAAATTCAATCTGGAGTGGCAGAGTGCGCTCTGGTCGTTCGTAAAATTAGAGCATTGTCCGTTCGTAAAATTCAGTGTTTCGCTCTCGGGCGCGTTCAGAGTGCACACTGGACGCTCTGGCCGAGGAGTAGGGTTGACCCAAGCGTTCTGACCTTACAACAGCAGTCAAGCACCCAAGCTAACTGGCTAACTTGTTAGCTACTTCCTCACTATGACCATTTAACTCACCCTAGCAGAGCTGGTTAGGCTGTTTTCATGTTATCCAGAGCGTTGGTGACTAACTGTGCTTCTGGCAACAATTTAATTACGATTTTCTGCCGACGTTTTAGTGACACCGGTCATATTCAACGGGTGTTGAGTGTTCGTAAATTATTCTGCGCTCTGGTACACTCAGACGAGAGTGCTCTGAAATCGGAGTAGATAGAATGAGCGAATTTACGAAAGCACCCGAATGTCCATTGAGAATGCACAACGACTATACCACTTAGCTAAGCTAAGAATGACGGGAATAATCAAGTCAATAAATGTTGGATAGTTAGTTAGATAGCATATAGTTAATATACTGGCAAGTTCGATGTATTAGTAGCCAACTAACAACGTTACTTAGATTGCTAGCTAACACACCGGTACATACTGCTGTAATGATATGCTATGCGGTTCGTAAGGATAGCGTAGCTAACAAATTGTCAGCCAACATGACGTGTAACGTAACTTATTTGAAAAGTCATTACTTTACTACATCGCTCAACATTTTCTTAACATTTGTCATAATTAAAGCAATTAATTTGTATCCGTTCTCGTCGGACTTCGGCTGCATATTTTCAACCATTTTCTTCAAATCGGAAAATGTTGTGAAGCCACACCCATTTTTGGAAGAATTGCCTTATGGGCCCTAAAAGCACGGAAATATTGTCCACTGCTTGTATACTTCGTATTTTGGCGAATGTAGTACGACATCCGGGAACTTTTGGCATACTAACTATATTCATACTATGACCAATAAGCATACTACATACTCAATTTACGTCACAAATAGTGCCGTTAGTATGAGTATTCGACAGTCGTGAAGAGGGCACGACAAAACCTAAGGAGACTGAAAGGAGACTGAAAAGATTTGGCTTGGGTCCTCAGATCCTCAAAAGGTTCTACAGCTGCACCATCGAGAGCATCCTGACTGGTTGCATCACTGCCTGGTATGGCAACTGCTCGGCCTCCGACCGCAAGGCACTACAGAGAGTAATGCGTACGGCCCAGTACATCACTGGGGCCAAGCTTCCTGCCATCCAGGACCTCTATACCAGGCGGTGTCAGAGGAAGGCCCTAAAAATGGTCAAAGACTCCAGCCACCCTAGTCATAGACTGTTCTCTCTGCTACCCCTCTTTTACGCTACTGCTACTCTCTGTTTATTATCTATGCATAGTCACTTTAATAACTCTACCTACATGGGCATATTACCCCAATTACCTCGACTAACCGGTGCCCCCGCACATTGACTCGGTACCGGTACCCCCTGTATATAGCCTCGCTATTGTTATTTTTACTGCTGCTCTTTAATTATTTGTTACTTTTATTTCGTATTATTTTATATTGTATTTTGTTGTGATTTCTTGTGGTATTCTTTCTTAAAACTGCATTGTTGGTTAAGGGCTTGTAAGTAAGCATTTCACTGTAAGGTCTACACCTGTTGTATTCGGCGTATGTGACAAATAGAATTTGATTTGATTTGAACACAGCTATTGTCTTTCCGTTTTATCTACAAGAACGGTAAAGTAACGGTAACGGCGTCTGATTTAACGCATCGCAAGAAAGATAATAAATACTTTATTTTAATGGGTGTCATTTTTTTGGGGTGGAATTTTAAAAAGTAATAATTGAATACAGTTGAAATGTTTGCAAATTAGTTGCACTGAAATGAAAGCAACTTCCGAAAATTAACACTGGGATTATAGTGATATTATTTCTGATCTCGCAAACAATGTAAAATATGTTTAGATAGGTGTAATCTAGAGCCAAGCGTGTTGGTTTTTAATCAGAGGGTATCCTGCTATTGATACACTTGTTGAATTATGCAACAGAACGTGACAACAGTAATTAATGAGGCAGTCTAGACAGTGCAGGTGAGTGCAGGTAGGCCTAGACAGAGTATGTTTTTGTAGCACATATGCAAATACATTCACACAAATGAAGCACATATAATTTCCTTTATTTTTACACAGAATATGAAGGAAATACCTGATTACATTAGAAAATGTATATGAGTGCATTCTAAGAAAATAAGTTACATTTTACAATAGATTGTATACCTGAATTCCCACCAAAATCCTTGAACGGCATTAATTATTTGTCCGTGCCAGGAAAATGTATTCTGTGCTGTAATTCAGTCTCCACTGCCTTTGGTGCCTCTGGTGCCTCTTCGCCACAGTAATAATACATTTTAACAACAAATTCCAAATGCTTCATCAGTAAATTATCAATTTCAAGCAATTGTTACATACTAAAAGAGCAGTATGCTAGTAATTGATGCCCCATTGCTGGTGAGCTTACAAAGTAAACAGTTAATATTCTTGAACACCAAACAATTTTTTGGAGATGCATATTTATTTGTGTCAATCCACTCTCCCTGCAATTTGACGTTTGCGCTGCATCCGATCCAATAGCTGTACGGCAAATCAGCAGTCTGTTCGCTAGCGAACCCCACCCTGTGTTGATTTGACAGTTTTCTGGTCCAATCAGAGGGCCGAGTGTGTGTTTTCATTAGCCAATCTGTTGCATGTTTTCTTTTGCAAGGGCGATGCTGCGACTATCGTCTCTGGCTGCGTGGAGAGTAACCCACAGAGAGACTGTGCCACAAAATTAGTGACTAAACCTTACAAAACCTGACCAGGTCATTTCAAGTCATCAGTCTCAAGTCAAAAGCCAAGTTCCAAGTTGTTTTTATTTTCTATCATGTCGAGTCTCAATTCATCAACTTTGTGGGCTGGAGTCAGACTCAAGCAATAATGTCCATCTGCAGACTGCGGTAACTACATGCCGTGCACACTGCCATTTGATGCTCTGGCCCACACTCCAGCACAGTAGGTGGCGGTAATGCACCAACGTTGGATGCCAACCGCCGAAAAAAACGCCAATGAAGGAGGCTGCTAGCTAGCTAGGGGACACCGGTACACAGTGTCCTTTGCCCCCACCTGCCGAGCGCTGCTTTCCTGCAGTTCTGTTAACGTTACGGTGAGGGAATTACAGTGTCTTCAGAAAGTTTTCAATCACACCCCTTGACTTTTTCAAAATGTTGTTGTGTTTACATTTACATTTACGTCATTTAGCAGACGCTCTTATCCAGAGCGACTTACAGTTAGTGAATAATTTTTTTTATTTTTATTTTTATTTTTTTTATACTGGCCCCCCCGTGGGTTACAGCCTGAATTTAAAATTTTACATTTACATTTGAGTAATTTAGCAGACGCTCTTATCCAGAGCGACTTACAGTTAGTGCATACATTTTCATACTGGCCCCCCTGTTGCAAGCGCCATGCTCTACCAACTGAGCTACAGGGGACTGCCCCTAAAATGGATTCAATTGAGATTTTTGGTCACTGGCCTACACACAATACCCCATAATAAGTTGAATTATGTTTTTACAAATTAATAAAAAATGAAAAGCTGACATGTCTTGAGTCAATGGGTGTTCAACCCCTTTGTTATAGCAAGCCTAAATAAGTTCAGGAGTAAAAATGTGCTTAACAATTCACATAATAAGTTGCATGGACTTACTCTGTGTGCAATGATAGTGTTTAACATGATTGTTGAATGACTACTCTGTACCCCACACATACAATTATCCCTAAGGTCCCTCAGTTGAGCAGGGAATTTCAAACACAGATTCAACAACAAGACCAGGGAGGTTTTGAATTTCCCTTTGAGCATGGTGAAGTTATTAATTACACTTTTGTATATATTCTTTTTAAATAATTTTATTTTACAATTTAGTACAAAACAAAAACACACAACAAAATAACAAAAAACTGCTGCCAGACATATGAAATGAAGTATTGCTTAAGCAAGACATGGGACAAGAATAGAGCAACAATGAACAGGTACAACAACAATAAGCGTTCCTAGTCAGTGTCCCAAAGGTCCAGAAATTGACCCTAAATCTTGAGAAATCTGCTGGAGGAGTTAGTCCTGAAAAAAACAAGTATTTTCAAAGTTAATGGTGTTAATCATTTCAGTTTGCCATCTACGGAAGCAAGGGGGGGTGGGTGACTTCCATTCTGGATAATGTTTTTTTGCAGCCACCATTCCAAACACCATAGCCGGTTGTTCCTCATAGGACGATCTTAGAGCAGACTCTGAGCAGCCAAAGAGAGCGAGTTCTGGGTCAGGTTCAATGGCCCTCTCATGTACCTTTTGAGGACCAATCAAAGATGTTCCTCCAGGCATCCCGAGTGGCGCAGCAGTCTAAGGCACTGCGGTGCTTGAGGCGTCACTACAGATCCAAAAAACTACCAATGGGATATCACGAAAAAGGGGTAAAAAGTACCCAAATAAAATAATACATGTGATCTTTTGAAACAGGTCCTATAGGCTACGCCAGATTTAGAGGTATTTGCCACTTTAGTTGTGAATAATGCAAAGCTTATAATGTCTTAGAAATCAAAACCTATCTGGGCTGCATGGTGATATCTGGGCTGCATGGTGATATATGGGCTGCATGGTGATATCTGGGCTGCATGGTGATATCTGGGCTGCATGGTGATATCTGGGCTGCATGGTGATATCTGGGCTGCATGATGATATCTGGGCTGCATGACGCCACTATATGGGCTGCATGGTGATATATGGGCTGCATGGTGATATCTGGGCTGCATGATGATATCTGGGCTGCATGACGCCACTATATGGGCTGCATGGTGATATATGGGCTGCATGGTGATATCTGGGCTGCATGGTGATATCTGGGCTGCATGGTGATATCTGGGCTGCATGATGATATCTGGGCTGCATGGTGATATCTGGGCTGCATGGTGATATCTGGGCTGCATGGTGATATCTGGGCTGCATGACGCCACTATATGGGCTGCATGACGCCACTATATGGGCTGCATGGTGATATCTGGGCTGCATGGTGATATCTGGGCTGCATGGTGATTTCTGGGCTGCATGGTGATATCTGGGCTGCATGGTGATATCTGGGCTGCATGGTGATATATGGGCTGCATGATGATATCTGGGCTGCATGACGCCACTATATGGGCTGCATGACGCCACTATATGGGCTGCATGGTGATATCTGGGCTGCATGGTGATATCTGGGCTGCATGGTGATATCTGGGCTGCATGGTGATATCTGGGCTGCATGGTGATATATGGGCTGCATGGTGATATCTGGGCTGCATGACGCCACTATATGGGCTGCATGACGCCACTATATGGGCTGCATGGTGATATCTGGGCTGCATGGTGATTTCTGGGCTGCATGGTGATTTCTGGGCTGCATGGTGATATCTGGGCTGCATGGTGATATCTGGGCTGCATGGTGATATATGGGCTGCATGATGATATCTGGGCTGCATGACGCCACTATATGGGCTGCATGACGCCACTATATGGGCTGCATGGTGATATCTGGGCTGCATGGTGATATCTGGGCTGCATGGTGATATCTGGGCTGCATGGTGATATCTGGGCTGCATGGTGATATATGGGCTGCATGGTGATATCTGGGCTGCATGATGCCACTATGGGCTATTGATGGTTTGAGAAAGTAGCAACAAAAAAAAGCTTGCGCTTTGTTCCTTGCCTCAGGCTGCACACATCTCATCAAGTGATCATATTATCACCCATCAGACTGTTCTCAATTTAATATTGTCTTTACTAATACTGTATGTTAAAATTGTTAAGATTTAGAATGGCCCATTATCAAATGGGCAGGAACAGGGCCAGGGGGAAAAAACAGGTACAAATAAAAACATATAAAAACACACAGGCCAAATAAAAACATATTATTTTTTTTTAAACACGTCATCCACCTATGCACTCCAATAGCGAATGGAAGCCGCTTTCCCTCCTGTTGTTCGTTCGGGTAGGCTACTCTCTCTGGTTATTTCACTCCACACATCAACCACTGTTTGAGGAGCATGCAGCCTCTCCGCGACAGGTGATATTCCGACCAAACTCTGTATGCCATGGGCTCTCCAAACCTGTTCCTGCAGCTACCCAGTGGTTAATTTGGGAAACCATGTGAAATCTGTTCGGAAACATCAAAAGTAACACGTTTTCACAACAAAACATATTTAATTAAACTGTTGACATCTCCTCTCCCTGTAAAGTGTTGACAGCTCCTCTCCCTGTAAAGTGTTGACAGCTCCTCTCCCTGTAAAGTGTTGACAGCTCCTCTCCCTGTAAAGTGTTGACAGCTCCTCTCCCTGTAAAGTGTTGACAGCTCCTCTCCCTGTAAAGTGTTGACAGCTAATCTCCCTGTAAAGTGTTGACAGCTCCTCTCCCTGTAAAGTGTTGACAGCTAATCTCCCTGTAAAGTGTTGACAGCTAATCTCCCTGTAAAGTGTTGACAGCTCCTCTCCCTGTAAAGTGTTGACAGCTAATCTCCCTGTAAAGTGTTGACAGCTTCATTCTCTGCTTGAGAAAGTAATGAAGGAGAGAGGGGAGGAGAAACGCACATTGGTAGCTAAAGGTAGCATATTGTTATTAATTGAATTACATTTAAAAATGAATTATTAAATTATAAAAAAATGCAAAAATACAAATTCACTATAACTCTGTAAGCCATACTGCACAATCAATGGACCAACAGCATCACCTAGGGATGGCTATACCTAAGCCCATACTTTCTCTCCCAGACTCAGGAATATAAACTTTGGAGTGTAGCATAAGAGAACCAGTCCATCCAGTATGCATAATAATACAGTCCACACTCAAAGGTAATTACTAGAATTTGTTTAATTTTGGAAAATAGGCTAGACCAATTAAGATCCGTTTTTTGTATGTTTTTTTCTGTGGTGCGTAATATGCGGTAGCATATGTATTTAAATAAAATTAAATTGTATTTGTCACATGTCCTTAACCAACAATGCAGTTCAAGAAATAGAGTTAAGAAAATATTTACTAAATAAACTAAAGTAAAAAATTAAATTAAAAATTAACACAATAAAATAACTATAACGAGGCTATATCCCAGTCCGGGTTTGGCCGGGGTAGGCCGTCATTGTAAATAAGAGTGTGTTCTAAACTGACTTGCCTAGTTAAATAAAGGTTAAATAAAATAAATATATATATATATACAGGGGGTACCGGTACCAAGTCAATGTGCGGGGTTACAGGTTAGTCCAGGTCATTTGTACATGTACAGTGTCTTGAGAAAGTTTTCACCCCCCTTGGCATTTTTCCTGTTTTGTTGCCTTACAACCTGGAATTAAAATAGATTTTTTGGGGGGGTTTGTATCATTTGATTTACACAACATGCCTACCACTTTGAAGATGCAAAATATTTTTTATTGTGAAACAAACAAGAAATAAGACAAAAAAACAGAAAACTTGATCGTGCATAACTATTCACCCCCCCAAAGTCAATACTTTGTAGAGCCACCTTCTGCAACAATTACAGCTGCAAGTCTCTTGGGGTATGTCTCTATAAGCTTGGCACATCTAGCCACTGGGATTTTTGCCCATCCTTCAAGGCAAAACTGCTCCAGCTCCTTCAAGCTGGGTGGGTTCCGCTGGTGTACAGCAATCTTTAAATCATACCACAGATTCTCAATTGGATTGAGGTCTGGGCTTTGACTAGGCCATTCCAAGACATTTAAATGTTTCCCCTTAAGCCACTTGAGTGTTGCTTTAGCAGTATGCTTAGGGTCATTATCCTGCTGGAATGTGAACCTCCGTCCCAGTCTCAAATCTCTGGAAGACTGAAACAGGTTTCCCTCAAGAATTTCCCTGTATTTAGCGCCATCCATCATTCCTTCAATTCTGACCAGTTTCCCAGTCCCTGCTGATGAAAAACATCCCCACAGCATGATGCTGCCACCACCATGCTTCACTCTGGGGATTGTGTTCTCGGGGTGATGATAGGTGTTGGGTTTGCGCCAGACATAGCGTTTTCCTTGATGGCCAAAAAGCTCAATTTTAGTCTCATCTGACCAGAGTACCTTCTTCCATATGTTTGGGGAGTCTCCCACATGGCTTTTGGCGAACACCAAACGTGTTTGCTTATTTCTTTAAGCAATGGCTTTTTTCTGGCCACTCTTCCGTAAAGCCCAGCTCTGTGGAGTGTACCGCTTAAAGTGGTCCTATGGATAGATACTCCAATCTCCACTGTGGAGCTTTGCAGCTCCTTCAGGGTTATCTTTGGTCTCTTTGTTGCCTCTGATTAATGCCCTCCTTGCCTGGTCCGTGAGTTTTGGTGGGCGGCCCTCTCTTGGCAGGTTTGTTGTGGTGCCATATTCTTTCAATTTTTAAATAATGGATTTAATGGTGGTCCGTAGGATGTTCAAAGTTTCTGATATTTTTTTGTAACCCAACCCTGATCTGTACTTCTCCACAACTTTGTCCCTGACCTGTTTGGAGAGCTCCTTGGTCTTCATGGTGCCGCTTGCTTGGTGGTCCCCTTTGCTTAGTGGTGTTGCAGACTCTGGGGCCTTTCAGAACTTCACCCCCTTTGCTTCATAGCAAAGGGGGTGAATACATATGCACGCACCACTTTTCCGTTATTTATTTGTTAGTATTTTTTGAAACAAGTTATTTTTTTTTAAATTTCACTTCACCAATTTGAACTATTTTGTGTATGTCCATTACATGAAATCCAGGATAGCAGGAGGATAACATTATTGTCAGATTTGCCAAATGGAGGGCGAGGGAGAGCTTTGTACGTGTCTCTGTGTGTGAAGTAAAGGTGGTCTAGAGTTTTTTTCCCTCTGGTTGCACATGTGACATGCTGGTAGAAATTAGATAAAACGGATTTAAGTTTGCCTGCATTAAAGTCCCCGGCCACTAGGAGCGCCGCCTCTGGATGAGCAGTGTGATCTACAGCTTATCATGAGGTACTCTAGGCCAATGGATGGTAGAGGCGGGGATTGTATAATCATTATTTTAATTATGTTTTTCTTTGGGCTTGGGCTCATATATGCTTATGTATAAACTCTAATATGCATATGGTTGTTTTTTAATTAATCATCACCTCAGAAAGCCTGTCCGTTTCCTTGTTAGGCTTTGAAACAACATCCAAAGCTACCATGTTTTCCACTCAGTTTCAACCTGCTGTTGAACTTATTTTTTCAGATTGATCAATCACAGTGAGGTGAGTTTTAAAAGCACAATACTGTTTTGATGATAAGTGTTTGATGTGATTTTCGATTGCATTGATGTCAGAGTGGTTAGAAGGACAATAGAGCCCTGAGTACCGACCTGATGGCCATTAGCGAGTTGGAAACTGCCAACGGATAAAAGGAGATTACCGTGACTCAACGGTCAAGTGGAATTTTACTGCGGTCATGACTCATGACTGCCGGTGTGGCGGTAATACGGTCACCGCAACAGCCCTAGTAACAACAGCCCTAGTAACAACAGCCCTACATAGGTATGCTTGTAATCATTAAGGACTGGGGAGTTTTTCAGGATAACAAAGAAACAGAATGGACACAAGCACAGGCAAAATCCTAGAGGAAAACCTGGTTCAGTCTGCTTTCCACCAGACAATGGTAGATGAATTCACCTTTCAGCAGGACAATGACCTAAAACACAAGGCCAAATCTACACCGGAGCTGCTTACCAAGAAGACAGTGATTGTTCCTGAGTGGCCGAGTTAAGAGTTTTGACTTTAATCTACTTGAAATCTATGGCAAGACCTGAAAATGGTTGTCTAGCAATGATCAACAACCAATTTGACAGAGCTTGAATACATGTTTTTATAGCTGCCAAAGGTGCTTCTACAAAGTATTGACTCAAGGCTGTGAATACTTATGTAAATTAATTATGTCTGTACTTAACTTTCAATTTATTTGCTAAAATTTCTAAAAACATATTTTCACTTTGTCATTATGGGTAATTGTGTGTAGATGGGTGAGATTTAAACATATATATTTTATCCATTTTAAATTCAGGCTGTAACACAACAAAATGTGGAATAAGTCAAGGGGTATGAATACTTTCTGAAGGCAACTGTCCCACTATTTCCCCCTCTCCCTGAATAGCCTGAAGCCACAGAGATCTACTCACTGCGTACAAACTGGATCTGGATTTTTGACCCGGTTTGATGTACATTGTAAAACACAGCAGCTTTTCAGCATAGATTTCGGTTTCTGTATAATAAAAAATCAACAGAGAAGTTGGCTCTTTTTTAATGGGGGTCAATGGGGAAGATGGATTGTTTTCCCCCAAGGTGGGCGTGGTCTAGGGGAATTCCTTCTTATGACTTGAATATTGACTGGGAGTACATGTACCTCACCGCTAACCCTCCATAACCCTCCATATAGTTACTGAGTATATACAGAATGTACCTTACATTTACATTTTAGTCATTTAGCAGACACTCTTATCCAGAGCGACTTACAGTTAGTGAATACATCTTTTTTTTATACTGGCCCCCCGTGGGAATCAAACCCACAACCCTGGCGTTGCAAATGCCATGCTCTATCAACTGAGCTACATCCCTGACCTCTAACCCTTCATAACCCTCAATATATACTGAACAAAAATATAAACGCAACGATTTCAACGATGTTACTGAGTTACAGTTCATATAACCAAATCCGTCTATTGAAATAAATTCATTAGGCCCTAATCTATGGATTTCACATGACTGGCAATACAGATATGCATCAGAAAACGAGTCAGTATCAGGCGTGACCACCATTTGCTTCATGCAGCGTGACACATCTCCTTGGCATAAAGTTAATCAGGCTGTTGATTGTGGCCTGTGGAATGTTCTCCCACTCCTCTTCAGTGGCTGCGGGAATTGGAACACGCTGTCGTACACGTCGATCCAGAGCATCCCAAACATGCTCAATGGGTGATGTCTGGTGAGTATGCAGGCCATGGAAGAACTGGGACATTTTCAGCTTCCAGGAATTGTGTTGCTGAAACATGAGGTGATGGCTGCGGATGAATGGCAAGACAAAGGACCTCAGGATCTCATCACGGTATCTCTGTGCGTTCAAATTGCCATCGATAAAATGCAACTGTCCGTAGCTTATGCCTGCCCATACCATAACCCCACCGCCACCATGGGTTACTCTGTTCACAGCGTTGACATCAGCAAACCACTCGCCCACACGACGCCATACACGCTGTCCACCATCTACTCGGTACAGTTGAAACCGTGAAGAGCACAGTTCTCCAGCGTGCCAGTGGCCATCGAAGGTGAGCATTTGTCCATTGAAGTCGGTTACGACGCCGAACTGCAGTCAGGTCAAGACCCCTGTGAGGACAACGAGCATGCAGATGAGCTTCTCTGAGACGGTTTCTGACAGTTTGTCCAGACCTTCTTCAGTTGTGCAAACCCACAGTTTCAATAGCTGCCCGTGTGGCTGATCTCAGACAATCCCGCAGGTGAAGAAGCCGGAGGTGGAGGTCCTGGGCTGGCGTGGTTACACATGGTCTGCGGTTGTGAGGCCGGTTGGACGTACTGCCAAATTCTCTAAAATGATGTTGGACGCGGCTTATGGTAGAGAAATTAACATTACATTTTCTGGCAACAACTCTGGTGTACATTCCTGCAGTCAGCATGCCAATTGCAAACTGCCTCAAAACTTGAGACATCTGTGGCATTGTGTTGTGTGACAAAACTGCACATTTTAGAGTGGCCTTTTATTGTCCCCAGCACAAGGTGCACTTGTGTAATGATCATGCTGTTTAATCAGCTTCTTGATATGTCACACCTGTCAGGTGGATGGATTATCTTGGCAAAGGAGAAATGCTCACTAACAGGGATGTAAACAAATTTGAGAGAAATAAGCTTTTTGTGCTTATGGAACATTTCTGGGATCTTTTATTTCAGCTCATGAAACATGGGACCAACACTTTACATGTTGCATTTATATTTTTGTTCAGTGTTATGTTGTTGTATAGTGGTATTAAACACTTTGTATTGTAGGTATCAGTGGTGTAAAGACTTTAAGTAAAAATACTTTAAAGTACTACTTAAGTATTTTTTTTGGTATCTGTACTTTACTATTCATATTTTTCACAACTTTTACTTTTACTTCACTACATTCCTGATGATAATGGTGTACATTTTACTCCATACATTTTCCCTGACACCCAAAAGTACTCGTTACATTTTAAATGCTTAGCAGGACAGGAAAATTGTTTAAGTCACACACTTATCAAGAGAACATCCCTGGTCATCGCTACTGCCTCTGATCTGGCGAACTCACTAAACACATGCTTCATTTGTAAATTATGTCTGAGAGTTGGAGCGTGCCCCTGGCTATCCGTAAATAAATAGAAAACTAGAAAATGTGGCCATCTGCTTTGCTTAATATAAGGAATTTGAAATGATTTATACTTGTACTTTTACTTTTGATACTTAAGTATATTTTATCAATACATTTACTTTTACTACATAAGTATATTTAAAACTAAATACTTTTAGACTTTTACTCAAGTGGTATTCTACTGGGTGACTTTCACTTTTACTTGAGTCATTTTCTATTAAGGTATCTTTACTTCTACTCAAGTATGACAATTGGGTACTTTTTCCACCACTGGTAGATATGTAGTGGTGTAATAATGTTATATGACGTACCATTTTATTTATAATGTTTTGTGTGATGTAAGTGTCTTAATGTGTTTGGACCCTAAGAAGAGTAGCTGCTGCCTTGGCAGAACTGATGGGGATCTCTAATAAAAACAAATACCTGCACTGGAGGGCTGATGTTCTAAACTAAAGTATTCAGACCCTTTACTCGGTACTTTGTTGAAGTACCTTTGGCAGCGATTACAGCCTCGAGTCTTCTTGGGTATGACGCTACAAGCTTGGCACACCTGTATTTGGGGAGTTTCTCCCATTCTTCTCTGCAGATCCTCTCAAGCTCTGTCAGGTTGGATGGGGAGCGTCGCTGCATTTTCAGGTCTCTCCAGAGATGTTTGATCGGGTTCAAGTCCAGGCTCTGGCTGGGCCAATCAAGGACATTCAGAGACTTGTCCTGAAGCCAGTCCTGCGTTGTCTTGGCTGTGTGCTTTGGGTCATTGTCCTGTTGGAAGGTGAAACTTTGCCCCAGTCTAAGGTCCTGAGTGCTCTGGAGCAGGTTTTCATCAAGGATGTCTCTGTACTTTTCTCTGTTCATCTTTCCTTCGATCCTAACTAGTCTCCCAGTCCCTGCCACTGAAAAACATCCCCACAGCATGATGCTGCCACCACCATGCTTCACCGTAGGAATGGTGCCAGGTTTCCTCAAAACGTGATGCTTGGCATTCAGGCCAAAGAGTTCAACCTTGGTTTCATCAGACCAGAGAATCTTGTTTCTCATGGTCTGAAAGTCCTTTAGGTGCCTTTTGGCAAACTCCAAGCGGGCTGTCATGTGCCTTTTACTGAGGAGTGGCTTCCGTCTGGCCACTCTACCATAAAGGCCTAATTGGTGGAGTGCTGCAGAGATGGTTGTCCTTCTGGAAGGTTCTCCCATCTCCACAGAGGAACTCTGGAGCTCTGTCAGAGTGACCATCGGGTTCTTGGTCACCTCCCTGACCAAGGCCCTTCTCCCCTGATCGCTCAGTTTGGCCGGGCGGCCAGCTCTAGGAAGAGTCTTGGTGGTTCTAAACTTCTTCCATTTAAGAATGATGGAGGCCACTGTGTTCTTGGGGACCTTCAATGCTGCAGACATTTTTTGGTGCCCTTCCCCAGATCTGTGCCTCGACACAATCCTGTCTCGGAGCTCTACGGACAATTCCTTCGACCTCATGGCTTGGTTTTTGCTCTGACATGCACTGTCAACTGTGGGAACTTATATAGACAGGTGTGTGCCTTTCCAAATCATGTCCGATCAATTGAATTTACCACAAGTGGACTCCAATCAAGTTGTAGAAACATCTCAAGGATGATCAATGGAAACAGGATGCACCTGAGCTCAATTTCTAGTCTCGTAGCAAAGGGTCGGAATACTTATGTAGATAAGGTATTTCAGTTTTTTATTTGTAATACATTTGCAAAAAATTCAAAAAACCTGTTTTCGGTTTGTCATTATGGGGTATTGTGTGTAGATTGATGAGGAAAAAAAAACTATTTTATCAATTTTAGAATAAGGGTGTAACGTAACAAAATGTGGAAAAAGTCAAGGGGTCTGAATACTTTCCTAATGCACTGTATGTCTGTATGAGGGTGTTCGGCAGTCAGGTCTCCAAAGTGGCCATTTTATTGATTGTGTGTTGTCTGTTTCCCTCTGGCAGAATGAAGTCACCCTGCTGAGAAATGAAGTGGCTCAGCTGAAGCATCTTCTTCTGGCTCATAAAGATTGCCCTGTAACCGCCATGCAGAAGAAATCAGCCTATCACAGTGAGTAATGTTCCATTTCCCTCACCACGGGGCCGCCCCACGAAATACATCCAAAACGAGCCCTGCTAACCGCTCGCCAGAGGGACACGTCTCGCTCATCGCCTAGCCCAACACTTCCAGAGCAAGGGACACATTAGACCGTTCTCCCTTTGACAAACTTCTGAGAAGTTGAGCTATTCATATGCCTTTTTGTATCCAGGTGTTTTGAGGTGTCATTTCAAGTCATAATGTTTTTAAATGTGGTTTACCTTCACCATTATGGAAGCCTACATGCAGAGGAAAGGCATCGAAAAGATACACATTAAAGCTCCAAGCTTTACGTTTTTATTCTTTTAATGATGCCTTTTTTGAAATGTGCAAATCTGTGCATCGTGTCTGCCATATGCAGCCTCTTCATTTCAATTCGCTGTTGTCGGTAGAACGGGCTGCTGGGATGCAATGGTTGACTCGCTTTGCCCAGCAGTGGCTGTTCCTCAGGTGCTTGTTTTAAAACGTAATGGCTGCCAGGTTTCACCCAGTCACTCCGGCACTTCATTAAGAACAGGCTAATACTTTTTCATTTCCACCATTTCAGCCCCATTTGCCTCTCCGTATTTTAGAATCTAGATTTTTGTCAGTTCAGCTTTGAGCTCATACCTCACCATCTCTCTTAAATATGCAGAACGTGTACACAGAGCCACGTCTCAGCAGTGCTCAGGAGTCTGCCGCTGACTTGTGTTGACAATGATTGCCTCCAAAAAATGAGTCCATTATAGCTGAGAGGAGAGCTTGACAAGACCGTGGAGCTTTCTCAATGAGAGGTGCCGCAGCCACGAGGTCCACTGTTCATTATACATTCCTGTTGTTAACCATAGCTGACACGCCTCATGCTTATTATGAGACTAATGGCTGAATGGCTCCCAGGCTGTATTGACCTGTCACAGACAGGGATCATTTGGTTGTCTGGATTGTTTTGATTACGATTTGCAGATGAGTTGGGTCATCTTTCTCAGGTATATAGAATTTCCCCCCAGCTTCTTAGACCTCTGTGAAGGATGATCACTTGCACCCCGTTGATACAGTGGAGAAAATACAGCCTAGACTCATTCTGTTACTTTACGGAAGCATTCTATTTTTGAAAGGTGAGGTTAAGGTAGATGACATCAGCCTGTACATACTATACTATGCTGTCAATACTGTGACAACAAAAGGCAGCTTGCCCCATCTGTCTGGTAACATGTTTCATTATCCAGGCCCAGGCTCTCAGTATCCTCCATCTCTGTCTGGTAACATGTTTCATTATCCATCCCCAGGCTCCCAGTATCCTCCATCTCTGTCTGGTAACATGTTTCATTATCCAGGCCCAGGCTCCCAGTATCCTCCATCTCTGTCTGGTAACATGTTTCATTATCCAGCCCCAGGCTCCCAGTATCCTCCATCTCTGTCTGGTAACATGTTTCATTATCCATCCCCAGGCTCCCAGTATCCTCCATCTCTGGTAACATGTTTCATTATCCAGGCCCAGGCTCCCAGTATCCTCCATCTCTGGTAACATGTTTCATTATCCAGGCCCAGGCTCCCAGTATCCTCCATCTCTGTCTGGTAACATGTTTCATTATCCATCCCCAGGCTCCCAGTATCCTCCATCTCTGGTAACATGTTTCATTATCCAGGCCCAGGCTCCCAGTATCCTCCATCTCTGGTAACATGTTTCATTATCCAGGCCCAGGCTCTCAGTATCCTCCATCTCTGGTAACATGTTTCATTATCCATCCCCAGGCTCCCAGTATCCTCCATCTCTGGTAACATGTTTCATTATCCAGGCCCAGGCTCCCAGTATCCTCCTTCTCTGTCTGGTAACATGTTTCATTATCCAGGCCCAGGCTCTCAGTATCCTCCATCTCTGGTAACATGTTTCATTATCCAGGCCCAGGCTCCCAGTATCCTCCATCTCTGTCTGGTAACATGTTTCATTATCCAGGCCCAGGCTCTCAGTATCCTCCATCTCTGTCTGGTAACATGTTTCATTATCCAGGCCCAGGCTCTCAGTATCCTCCATCTCTGTCTGGTAACATGTTTCATTATCCAGCCCCAGGCTCCCAGTATCCTCCATCTCTGTCTGGTAACATGTTTCATTATCCATCCCCAGGCTCCCAGTATCCTCCATCTCTGGTAACATGTTTCATTATCCAGGCCCAGGCTCCCAGTATCCTCCATCTCTGGTAACATGTTTCATTATCCAGGCCCAGGCTCTCAGTATCCTCCATCTCTGTCTGGTAACATGTTTCATTATCCATCCCCAGGCTCCCAGTATCCTCCATCTCTGGTAACATGTTTCATTATCCAGGCCCAGGCTCCCAGTATCCTCCATCTCTGGTAACATGTTTCATTATCCAGGCCCAGGCTCTCAGTATCCTCCATCTCTGGTAACATGTTTCATTATCCATCCCCAGGCTCCCAGTATCCTCCTTCTCTGTCTGGTAACATGTTTCATTATCCATCCCCAGGCTCCCAGTATCCTCCATCTCTGTCTGGTAACATGTTTCATTATCCAGGCCCAGGCTCTCAGTATCCTCCATCTCTGTCTGGTAACATGTTTCATTATCCAGCCCCAGGCTCCCAGTATCCTCCATCTCTGTCTGGTAACATGTTTCATTATCCAGGCCCAGGCTCCCAGTATCCTCCTTCTCTGTCTGGTAACATGTTTCATTATCCAGCCCCAGGCTCCCAGTATCCTCCATCTCTGTCTGGTAACATGTTTCATTATCCAGCCCCAGGCTCCCAGTATCCTCCTTCTCTGTCTGGTAACATGTTTCATTATCCATCCCCAGGCTCCCAGTATCCTCCTTCTCTGTCTGGTAACATGTTTCATTATCCAGCCCCAGGCTCCCAGTATCCTCCTTCTCGGTCTGGTAACATGTTTCATTATCCAGGCCCAGGCTCCCAGTATCCTCCATCTCTGGTAACATGTTTCATTATCCAGGCCCAGGCTCCCAGTATCCTCCATCTCTGTCTGGTAACATGTTTCATTATCCAGGCCCAGGCTCCCAGTATCCTCCATCTCTGGTAACATGTTTCATTATCCAGGCCCAGGCTCTCAGTATCCTCCATCTCTGGTAACATGTTTCATTATCCAGGCCCAGGCTCTCAGTATCCTCCATCTCTGGTAACATGTTTCATTATCCATCCTCAGGCTCACAGCTACAGCAGGTGGGAGGAAATTACCATACAAACATACAAGGCCATGCTTCGTCTTGGCACACCAAACTGTCCATCTGCTTCTGTTAAAAACCACACAGAGCTGTCCATCTGCTTCTGCTAAAAGCCACATCAGAAATTAAGAGAAAGAAAGGCTGCTTAGGGGAACCAGTAAAGCTGCGTATGCCGCTCCTGTGCTTAATGCCATTAGGAGTAATAATACACAATGGAATATGGAACAAAAAGACCAGGCTGATTTACTCTGGGATCAGCCTTATGATTTTCTCTGGGATCAACCTAATGATTTACTCTGGGATCAACCTTAGGATTTACTCTGGGATCAACCTTATGATTTACTCTGGGATCAACCTTAGGATTTACTCTGGGATCAACCTTAGGATTTACTCTGGGTCAACCTTAGGATTTACTCTGGGATCAACCTTAGGATTTACTCTGGGGTCAACCTTAGGATTTACTCTGGGATCAACCTTAGGATTTACTCTGGGATCAACCTTAGGATTTACTCTGGGATCAACCTTAGGATTTACTCTGGGTCAACCTTAGGATTTACTCTGGGATCAACCTTAGGATTTACTCTGGGTCAACCTTAGGATTTACTCTGGGGTCAACCTTAGGATTTACTCTGGGATCAACCTTAGGATTTACTCTGGGATCAACCTTAGGATTTACTCTGGGTCAACCTTAGGATTTACTCTGGGATCAACCTTAGGATTTACTCTGGGTCAACCTTAGGATTTACTCTGGGATCAACCTTAGGATTTACTCTGGGATCAACCTTAGGATTTACTCTGGGATCAACCTTAGGATTTACGCTGGGTCAACCTTAGGATTTACTCTGGGATCAACCTTAGGATTTACTCTGGGTCAACCTTAGGATTTACTCTTGGATCAACCTTAGGATTTACTCTGGGTCAACCTTAGGATTTACTCTGGGGTCAACCTTAGGATTTACTCTGGGATCAACCTTAGGATTTACTCTGGGATCAACCTTAGGATTTACTCTGGGTCAACCTTAGGATTTACTCTGGGATCAACCTTAGGATTTACTCTGGGATCAACCTTAGGATTTACTCTGGGATCAACCTTAGGATTTACTCTGGGTCAACCTTAGGATTTACTCTGGGATCAACCTTAGGATTTACTCTGGGTCAACCTTAGGATTTACTCTTGGATCAACCTTAGGATTTACTCTGGGTCAACCTTAGGATTTACTCTGGGATCAACCTTAGGATTTACTCTGGGATCAGCCTTTCTGGTAGTTGACTGGTAAACTTTAAAAGTTTCCTGTTATATGCCCTGCATTGCAACCCTCCTGATCCTGTTTTGGAATATCAGCATAGTGTTGTGAATATAGACTATGCATTTTGATGAATTGAGTGTTGTACTTTAACAAGCACTATTGCTGCAGTAGATGTACTGAATAAAACATGTGATGATCAAACCACAATAACCATAATAGGCTTTTTGAGACACACTGTGGCTCAGTGTGCGCGTGTGTGTGTTCACTGTGTGTTTGCAGCGTATGAGAAGGAGGACAGCTGTGAGGAGATGTCAGTCCCGGACAGCCTTCAGAGCGAGGTCATCCAGCACAGCTCCGTCAGCACATCCAACGGAGTCAGCTCCTCCTCCACGACCCCTGCTGCCTCCGCCCTTGCTTCAGCCCACGTCCCAACCACAGCAGACCAGAGCACGGAGGAAGGCCAGCCCCAGGGGGGTGGTTCCCTGTTCACCGCCCAGACTCAGCCCTCGGGAAGCTGATCACCGCCACCGCACCACAGGCAGTGGCCCACCCTCACTGGGGAAAGGAACTCTCACTCAGCTTCACTTTGGACTATACTGTCTCTGTCCACTGTTTCCTTTCTGTTTCTTTTGACTTTTAAAGTTTAAACTATGAATTTTTAATGGTGAGCGAGCGTTGCGCCTTTTCCTGTCTTTTTATTTGGTTGAAATCCAATGTTCCTGAAAAACACAACACAATATTTTGAAATGCAATATTCCTGAAAAACACAACAAGATATTTTGAAATGAAATGTTCCTGAAAACAACACGATAGTTTGAAATGCAATGTTCCTGAAAACAACACGATAGTTTGAAATGCAATGTTCCTGAAAACACAACACGATAGTTTGAAATGCAATGTTCCTGAAAACAACACGATAGTTTGAAATGCAATGTTCCTGAAAAACACAACACGATAGTTTGAAATGCAATGTTCCTGAAAACAACACGATAGTTTGAATGCAATGTTCCTGAAACACAACACGATAGTTTGAAATGCAATGTTCATGAAAACACAACACGATAGTTTGAAATGCAATGTTCCTGAAAACAAACACGATAGTTTGAAGCAAGTTCCTGAAAACACAACACGATAGTTTTGAAATGCAATGTTCCTGCAACACAACACGATAGTTTGAAATGCAATGTTCCTGAAAAACACACCACGATTAGTTTGAAATGCAATGTTCTGAAAAACACAACACGATAGTTTGAAATGCAATGTTCCTGAAAAACACAACACGATAGTTTGAAATGCAATGTTCCTGAAAAACACAACACGATAGTTTGAAATGCAATGTTCCTGAAAACACAACACGATAGTTTGAAATGCAATGTTCCTGAAAACACAACACGATAGTTTGGAAATGCAATGTTCCATGAAAAACACAACACGATAGTTTGAAAATGCAATGTTCCTGAAAAACACAACACGATAGTTTGAAATGCAATGTTCCTGAAAAACACAACACGATAGTTTGAAATGCAATGTTCCTGAAAAACACAACACGATAGTTTGAAATGCAATGTTCCTGAAAAACACAACACGATAGTTTGAAATGCAATGTTCCTGAAAAACACAACACGATAGTTTGAAATGCAATGTTCCTGAAAAACACAACACGATAGTTTGAAATGCAATGTTCCTGAAAAACACAACACGATAGTTTGAAATGCAATGTTCCTGAAAAACACAACACGATAGTTTGAAATGCAATGTTCCTGAAAACAACACGATAGTTTGAAATGCAATATTCCTGAAAACAACACAATAATTTGTATGAAATTTACAAATATAACAGAGAAGACAGTACATTAGAAAATGGAACTGATTGTCTTATTCCCACTCTTGTATGTGTTTTATTTATTGACTGTGTACACGTCCTTTTTGTTTTGGACCTCTGTGAGCTATGGAGTTCTAATGATTGAATCAGTGCGTTGTCAATGAGACTTTACCAAAGTGTGTTGTGGCTCACTTGGAAAGTATTTGTTTTTAATGTCCTTTTATGGGTATCTTTATCTATCTGTATCTCATGAAGAGACATAAGAAACCGTCACTTTTATAGTTTTTTTGCCTCATAACGAAAGATTAGGGTTCACCTTTGTAGTGTTTGACTGTTCACATGAGAAGTACTGGCAGCTTTTAGAGGTAGATTTTAAATACCTGTCTCATTACAAAACTTCAATGGTTCAATTAGATTTTAACTGACAACCTTTTTGTGAGTAGTTTGGCTGCATCTGGCTGTAGCATAATGTGGTTTGAATGATTCCTCCACATGTAAAATAGTCTTCTTCGGGGGGGAGCTTGGGTAGAATTCTGTGTGTATTCTTTTACCAACATTCCATCTGTAGTCTGATTGTTCAATGAAGCAGTGATTGTACGAATGCAGTACATTTTACATTACACAAACATGTTGATGTTGACTTAACCATGTGCCATTAATGTTAATTATCACACAGGGAGTTCCCATGTACATAATTGCTTGGTATAGAGATATCATGCTTCTGAATAATGTTTCTGCTTACTAAGTGACTGTCTATTGCTTTCATGTTTGACCCTGAACACTCTTGAGGAAATATTACTCAAATATTACAGTTACTCCTTAAGATAATAATATGACACTTTTAGGAAACATGATAAATAACATTATTACTGATACAGATAAATAACATTATTACTGATACAGATAAATAACATTATTACTGATACACTCGGGCTCCCGAGTGGCGCAGCGGTCTAAGGCACTGCATCTCAGTGCTTGAGGCGTCACTACAGACCCCCCCCTGGTTCGGTTCCAGGCTGTATCACAACCCGGCCGTGATTGGGAGTCCCATAGGGCGGCGCACCATTGGCCCAGCGTCGTCCGTCGTTGGCCGGTGTAGGCCGTCACTGTAAAGAAGAATTGGTTCTTAACTGACTTGCCTAGTTAAATAAAGGTTAAATAAAAAATTAATTGGGATCTTTCCAGATGTCATGACATTTTTTGATAGAATAGTTTTAATATTTTATTAGAGTCCTAATAAGGACTTACTTTTTTATCAATGAAAGATCGACCTGGGGAACCTTTATTGGCCTGCAACCTAAAACTAAGGCTCTGTATGTCTTGATGTAGTACAGTACCTTTAAAAACATTGAACGTGTGAATAGAATCACTTACTGCCACGCCAGAAACCTAATGAGGAATCCAGGATGTATGTTTTTTTAAGTTGAGCTAATACTGCTTTTAAGCATAGTGACAAATTAGAAAAATAATTGTAGGTTGCAAATGTCACCATTATTTTTGAATCAAATTGTATTTTCTCTGTATTTATTGGCTTACTACTGTGTAGTTTGATGAGACACTACTGCGTCGTTTTATTCAGATTTTAATCATTTATCGGACGCTGGAGAGACTTCCAGTAGTGAGTGCATCCATTTATCATATTATATTATTTTTTTTTGTACTGGTCCCCCATGGGAATCGAACCCACAACCATGGCGTTGTGGGCACTATGCCCAGATATAATATATTCCTCTTTATTGAACTTGTTTTGTACTGTCACTATTGTGTGCTCTCTGCGTGATTAAATAATTATCTGAGAGAATTAAACTCATATTAAATAATGTCTCAGTCTAAGAAGTAACATTGAACATGTTTCACCTTGAGTTGTAAAGGTTTGTACATTGTTTTACCTCTGCTTAACTACTTAAAAGGTGTGTGATATTGTGTTGGCAGTAAACTTGTAACTTGTGAAAGCTAAGTAAAGTATTATAAATGAATAAGATGTAATAAATATTTTAATATCTCTTTAAATCCATTTTTGCCTCCTAGGTTTTTCTGTATTGATGACATAGAACCAGTTTGGAGTGCAGACTAGATGATTTCTTCTTTCTGACTCAAAGCGTTCTTTCTTTTGACCATATCACCATTTCATTATTTGCTTGTTTATTGTAAGGTGGAAGGACAGGAGTTGAGAACAAAGATCTAACATCTGAAGGAAGGCAAGCCCCTGCTCCACCACCAGGAGGTGTACCGGCACAAGGAGTGATTGAGGAGGGGTGACCCGGTAGCAGGTCTACAGTCAGCCATTGGAGGTGTGACAGGCAGAGATGTCAAGCAGGGAACCATTGAATTATCTGTATACAACCAGTTGGAGTGCAGACTATATAGTTGCTTTCTTTGGACCATATCAACATTTCATAATTTGCTCCTTTAGTGTAAGTAACTGCTGGCTGACAGTAGTCTGTGTAAGTTTGTTGTGTTGCATTCTGCCACCTGGTGGATATTTGGGTAATTACGTTTACTATGGGTCAGTGAATACAGAAAAACCTGCAACAAACCCCCTCAAAACATACAGTGAAAGATATGTTTCAGTGACACATATAACAGATAATACAATTGTTTTTGAACGATCCAAATCACATACAGTATGTAATAAACGTATAATATGATAATGAAGGGCAATTGCAACCCCCCAAGTATGGTAACATGTAATCTCTCACGTCACCCCGCTCCTCCGCACACTCCACTGGCTTCCAGTTGAAGCTTGCATCTGTTACAAGACCATGGTGCTTGCCTATGGAGCTGTGAGGGGAACGGCACCTCCGTACCTTCAGGCTCTGATCAGTCCCTACACCCAAACGAGGGCATTGCGTTCATCCACCTCTGGCCTGCTGGCTCCCCTTCCTCTGCGGAAGCATAGTTCCCGCTCAGCCCAGTCAAAACTGTTCGCTGCTCTGGCACCCCAATGGTGGAACAAGCTCCCTCACGACGCCAGAACAGCGGAGTCACTCACCACCTTCCGGAGACATTTGAAACCCCACCTCTTTAAGGAATACCTGGGATAGGATAAAGTAATCCTTCTACCTCCACCCCCCCCCCCCCCCCCCCCCACCCTATTTTTTTTTTTTTTTTTTTTTTTAATTAACAAAATATTGTAAAGTGGTTATCCCACTGGTTATAGGGTGAATGCACCAATTTGTAAGTCGCTCTGGAATAATAATATGCCATTTAGCAGACGCTTTTATCCAAAGCGACTTACATTCATGTGCGCATATATTTTTTTACGTATGTAACCCACTACCCTGGCGTTACAAGCGCCGTGCTCTACCAGCTGAGCTACAGATTGTTTAGTGTGCAGATGGCAGGTCTATGGCTTCAACCTCATTCAGCTGATAGGTGCCAGTTTGGGAACTGTTTGAATCCCAGAGTTGCCATCAGACATTGGTATCCCAGCACAGGAGTAGCCACAAGGATCCGACTCTCGTTCATTTCTCTCGAGTCGGGAACGGTGCTGTGCTGGAATGTGGACAGCCGGTGCCTGGCAAGGTATATGGCTAGGAAAATGTCGTTGTACTCCTAATCATCCTGAAATGATGAAAGGTGAATCGAGAAGATTGAAATACTGCTCGTTTTTAATTAAACCGTCATTTTTGTCAGCATGCTAGGCTAGCTAATGCTAAAGCAACCCATTGGATTCAACAACAATTCCGGTAGCTACTCACCCCAACGCTAGGCGTCGCATTTTCATGGAATACAATGGGCTGCTATAGCATTAGCTAGCCTAGCATGCTGGCGAAAACGGACTACACTTTCCACACATACAAAATAGGGTGTTGAGGGCCGTAGGTCATTTGACGTTGATGAACCAACAATCTAGCTCTTGTATCAAACTTGGTCACACATTACTGTTTTGTCAAAGCTATTCGCTGCTCTGGCACCCCAATGATAGAACAAGCTCCCCCACGACAGCGGAGACCACCTTCTGGAGACACTTGAAACCCTACCTCTTTAAGAAATACCTGGAATAGTATGTCCCAATTTGTAAGTCGCTCTGGATAAGAGCGTCTGCTAAATGATGTAAATGTCTGTCGGCTTTCTCCATTCAATGACAGCAGAGCTGGAGGTGACCGTCCTGTGCTAATATGTTGATGACCACCTGATTGTACTGTGTGTGCATGCATCGTTGACGGTGATGTCCTTAGCAGGGGAAGATTTGGCTGGAGTTGAGCTTTACACTGGTATTGATGCGATGGGTTTTGTTTCCAATATTCCAACTGCTGATTGCTTTGGGTATTGCTGTGACTGAAACGTTGTGTGTATTTTTGATGATCACGACAAGAGTAGCAGTCTGGTTCTCCCCTCTGTCTGTATTTCCTCCCTGTTGACAATGTTTAGCTCTGACAGCCATGTCTTGCTCTGGAACTGACAGGGGGGAGTGCATCACTGCACATGCTGTCAGGGCTCTGGATCAATGCACTGCTTATTTACATTTTAGTCATTTTAGCAGACGCTCTTATCCAGAGCGACTTACAGTTAATGAGTGCATACATTATTATTTTTTTCATACTGGCCCCCCGTGGGAATCAAACCCACAACCCTGGCGTTGCAAACGCCATGCTCTACCAACTGAGCTACATCCCTGCCGGCCATTCCCTCCCCTACCCTGGACGACGCTGGGCCAATTGTGCGCCGCCCCATGGGTGCTTATGGCATCCAAGTAGTGCCCTCTCAGGGTTTCAGGTTTGGAGCACCTCACAGAAACACTGAGACGTCTGTTTCTGCTCGTCTCATCTTTTTAGGCAAAATATCCTGCAGTTGCAGTCCCATGGGTTCTCATCCAAGTTGAAATATGACAGCCGAAGGCTACTTTCCAGTGCCCTTAGACTAAAGTGGGAGAGTGTTGCGGTTCAGTTTCAGAACCCTTAGATGTGTTGAACCCACAAAAGCAGAATCATTGATCGAGGAGACCAAATTGACACTCAAGTCAATCTCCCTGATGTGAGTACAGAGACTGAAAGCATGCTTCCTGATTTTCAAGATAAGATTTCCATTCAGCCTAAAATCCAAAATGCTAGATAGAGTAAAGAGCCACATTTTAAAACATTTTTACTGCAGTGTTACAGAGAGGACAGGGATTGCTTTCAGTATGCACAGTGGCCAGAGGATGGCAGTGTAATTCAAAATCTGTGACAGAGGGATAACTTTAATTACTCTACAAATGTGGGATCTTAATTTGAGCAATCTTGCTACAGCAGGAAAATAATCATGCAGCAACAAGACATTTGAATTATAATTAATGGAAAAAAATGTGTAGGGGTTGATACATTTTTCGTTAGCAAATCAAGTCTTACATTTTAAAGTGGAAATTACAAACTTTAGAAGCCTTTTTAAACCTTGACTACACTGCAAGTTTGCATTTCCTGCTGTGCAGGAAAATTCTCAGCAAATAAGGGTGTCAAATTAAGATCCTACATCTGTATATGATAGAGGTAGGGCTCTCCTATAAAGTCTATTTAAAATCGGAACTTTCGGTTTAAGGTGTTTCCTGTGCAAACTGAGAAGAGACCATCTGTCTGAATAATCTCAAAGCCTTTCCATCACAGGAGACTCAATGAATATAAGGGTTTTATTATGGGTCAAAAATCAAAATAAAAGCCATGCACAAAAAAAGGACAATTGAAACTTTTCTAAAATCCACTCTACCAACCAATCCTTTTCACACCTAATGTATTTCATCTGCAGCCACACTCATCCACCACCATGTCCTGGTAATGACGTAGGACTACGTTGTCGTTGTTGTCGTAGTAGAGCATGGAGACAGGTGACAGGCGGATGGGTACGCAGCAGGGCTGGGGTGTGCCGCGGGGGTCCAGGGAGTGCACCAGTGTCTGCAGGATGGCGTGGTTGGTGCCGTTCAGGCTCTCGCTCAGTGGGAACGGGCACTCTCCGTGGCAGTAGTTGGCCAGGTAGCCCTGCGGAGCGATGATCCAGTCCTGCCAGCCCACATCCTTGAAGTCGATGTAGAGGCGGCGGGGCTTACACACGTTGCTGGGAGTCACTGGGAGGTAGACGGCGCTCCTCTTCTGCCGAGAGCGGCACTGGAGCGGGTTCAGGGATACAGCCACCAGTGAGGCATGGAAATCTGGGAGGGTTACGGTCGGCCCAAACGGGACGGCGTTCGCCAGGTTCTGGGCCATGAAGGTGTCCGTGGTCAGGGTGTGGGCTGGATGTGGCTGCAGCTCCAGCACCAGTCCGTAGTTATGACCCGGTTTACGCCAGTTCTCTGCCAGCGCCGTGAGGTCCAGGGTGAGGGATCCGGGCTCTGGTTCCAGCTGCACCGACTGGGACAGCACCAGCCTGCGGTTGGCCTCGTGGCTCGCTCCCCTCAGGGTCGCACGCAGCACCTTGTACAGGGATACGCTGAGCGCCTGTGGGCCCAGGACGAACCTTGGTGTGCGGAACATGTCCCACTGGAACTTGATTTCCAGCTGCGCCAGAGAGAGCTGCTCCACAGGCTGCAGGACGGACATGTTGAAGAACAGATGTTTCTCCACACAGCCGTGGCAGCTGCCGCTCCAGCCTGACACCAGTCTACCTGAAGAGGACAGACAAAAAAAAAAAATACATATTAAGTTCACACTCTAGAAGTAGGACCTACGTTTCATTTTACAACTTAATTTGCATTGTGAGTCAGTAGCCTATAGGCAATAAACAGACCAATTGTTCTGACTTTGTCCACCTCGTTTCTCTTTCATTGGTCAATTTTGGCCCAAAAACAGGAAGTGAATGAACTCCAGATGCAATTGTTTTGAAAAACAAAAAGGTACAGTATCTCTTAAATATCAAAAAAATTAAAAATAAATGGATTGTGTATGCATGCCTATGTAGCTCAATAATTACTCTTAAACTGTAATTCTGATAATATTTTAAAACCAGATATTCCTCCGTCATCCACTGATCGTAAAGGGGCAATCTGCATTTCCAACAATAACAAAGTGCATACCCGCCACCTTTTAGGTAAACAGCTGAGGGATGTGGCTTTGGAAATGTAGCCTAACCACTCAAATTCATACAGACCTACGGATGCAATGAAGGCCCATCCATGATATCAAAATGATAGCCTGAAAACATGGTTAAAAACTACAGTGGTTTACAACAGAAACATTTTGGCAAACAGAGTAAGACTAGCTTATGTTTTGGTGGAGTACAACCGTTTAACTAAACTCATGGGCTTTATTTATAAGTTATATTCTTCAAGAATCAATGAGACCCATGGGGCGGCGCACAATTGGCACAGCGTCGTCCAGGGTAGGGTAGGGAATGGCCGGCAGGGATGTAGCTCAGTTGGTAGAGCATGGCGTTTGCAACGCCAGGGTTGTGGGTTCGATTCCCACGGGGGGGGCAGTATGGAGAAAAAAATATATATATATATATAAAAAAAGAATTAAAATAAAAAAATAAAAGAATGTATGCACTCACTAACTGTAAGTCGCTCTGGATAAGAGCGTCTGCTAAATGACTAAAATGTAAAATGTAAAATGAGTAGCCTTAATATCGTTCATTTAAAAGTTTTTTAAAAATGGAAGTAGTAATCGCAGATTGACCCTTTTAACCACATAGAATGAAGTCTATGGGGGACATGCATGATGGAAGGAGAGCCAGAAATAAAGCTCACCTTGGTCCTGCACAAATCGAACAATGTTCCCGCGAACTCCATACTCGGATACCATGCACGGGTCGCTTTCGTGGGTGTCGTTGTCCCGGGTGCTGGTACTTTTGAACATCCTCCACAACACGGAGGGAACGCGGCGGTGTGCTGACGGCTTCGGCCGAGCGGAGAGGCCCAACGAATTTAAAAACAAGCGCTCCTGAGTCTTCAAATCTTCTCCATTTCCTAAAGCAGACGCACTAATGGATAAAATAGCAAAGGCTAAAATAACCAAAGTCTCCATTCTTTGCGTTTGACCTGGACCTAGGCTTTACTACAAACGAACTAGCCTACACTACCGCGTGTTATACTTTTCTTTCTCGTTCTGTCCCACATTTGCTTGTGAATTTAAAAGTCCCTGCGTGACGGGTGTGTGATTGATCGTCGGCGCTGATTGATTGGCAGATTAGCGTGCTTCCCGGATGGTTTCTATCGACACCTAGGTGCCAGACTGCATAGACAAGCTATGCTAATGAGGAACTAGCTCAAAGATAAAGAGCATTTCATTAAAATCTACAAAAGTTACCTTCAAGTTAGCCTGCCTCAATTATTCCCGCTTTTCTTGAGTTTCTATCACTATGACAGAGAGTGAAAATATTTTTTTTTTCTTCTGCTGTCTCTATCCAAATTAATCTCTGAGGATCTTGACATGAACTGTCTCCAGATGTGATGTTGCATATTTCTAGGGACACTAGGTCTGTTTATTGCCACTGATGGTGCCTGCTCTTTGGGCTTCTAGGCCAGGTTTCCCAAATTGGGTGCAGGGATCCAATGGCAATCATTCAGATGTGCGATCAATATCAAAACATCACTGGTTCATTGATGATGATTTCCTGCATCAGTTAACAAGACCATGGCAATGGCTGCCTCCTCTGGGCCAGAGACAAACTGGTCGTAGACAAACCACTTCTTATCAACAGTGATGTGAGTTATTTAACTCCCTACAGATTTGTGAAATATTATCAACAGTGAGTGATATGTTATCTCCAGCAGGGCCGTAGCTGTTTATTAGTCATTTTTATTATGAGACCAAAATGGAGCTCTTTGGCATCAACTCAACTCGCCATGTTTGGAGGAGGAGGAATGCTGCCTATGACCCCAAGAACACCATCCCCAGGTCTGGGAGGAGATCCCTCAGGAGACCATCCGCCACCTCATCAGGAGCATGCCCAGGCGTTGTAGGGAGGTCATACAGGCACGTGGAGGCCACACACACTACTGAGCCTCATTTTGACTTGTTTTAAGGACATTACATCAAAGTTGGATCAGCCTGTAGTGTGGTTTTCCACTTTAATTTTGAGGGTGACTCCAAATCCAGACCTCCATGGGTTGATAAATTTGATTTCCATTGATCATTTTTGTGTGATTTTGTTGTCAGCACATTCAACTATGTAAAGAAAAATGTATTTAATAACATTATTTAATTCATTCAGATCTAGGATGTGTTGTTTAAGTGTTCCCTTTATTTTTTTGAGCAGTGTATATACATTGGGGAGAACAAGTATTTGATACACTGCCGATTTTGCAGGTTTTCCTACTTACAAAGCACGTAGAGGTCTGTAATTTTTATCATAGGTACACTTCAACTGTGAGAAACAGAAATCCAGAAAATCACATTGTATGATTTTTAAGTAATTAATTTGCATTTTATTGCATGACATAAGTATTTGATACAACAGAAAAGCAGAACTTAATATTTGGTACAGAAACCTTTGTTTGCAATTACAGAGATCATACGTTTCCTGTAGGTCTTGACCAGGTTTGCACACACTGCAGCAGGGATTTTGGCCCACTCCTCCATACAGACCTTCTCGAGATCCTTCAGGTTTCGGGGCTGTCGCTGGGCAATACGGACTTTCAGCTCCCTCCAAAGATTTTCTATTGGGTTCAGGTCTGAAGACTGGCTAGGCCACTCCAGGACCTTGAGATGCTTCTTACGGAGCCACTCCTTAGTTGCCCTGGCTGTGTGTTTCGGGTCGTTGTCATGCTGGAAGACCCAGCCACGATCCATCTTCAATGCTCTTACTGAGGGAAGGAGGTTGTTGGCCAAGATCTCGCGATACATGGCCCCATCCATCCTCCCCTCAATACGGTGCAGTCGTCCTGTCCCCTTTGCAGAAAAGCATCCCCAAAGAATGATGTTTCCACCTCCATGCTTCACAGTTGGGATGGTGTTCTTGGGGTTGTACTCATCCTTCTTCTTCCTCCAAACACGGCGAGTGGAGTTTAGACCAAAAAGCTCTATTTTTGTCTCATCAGACCACATGACCTTCTCCCATTCCTCCTCTGGATCATCCAGATGGTCATTGGCAAACTTCAGACGGGCCTGGACATGCGCTGGCTTGAGCAGGGGGACCTTGCGTGCGCTGCAGGATTTTAATCCATGACGGCGTAGTGTGTTACTAATGATTTTCTTTGAGACTGTGGTCCCAGCTCTCTTCAGGTCATTGACCAGGTCCTGCCGTGTAGTTCTGGGCTGATCCCTCACCTTCCTCATGATCATTGATGCCCCACGAGGTGAGATCTTGCATGGAGCCCCAGACTGAGGGTGATTGACCGTCATCTTGAACTTCTTCCATTTTCTAATAATTGCGCCAACAGTTGTTGCCTTCTCACCAAGCTGCTTGCCTATTGTCCTGTAGCCCATCCCAGCCTTGTGCAGGTCTACAATTTTATCCCTGATGTCCTTACACAGCTCTCTGGTCTTGGCCATTGTGGAGAGGTTGGAGTCTGTTTGATTGAGTGTGTGGACAGGTGTCTTTTATACAGGTAACGAGTTCAAACAGGTGCAGTTAATACAGGTAATGAGTGGAGAACAGGAGGACTTCTTAAAGAAAAACTAACAGGTCTGTGAGAGCCGGAATTCTTACTGGTTGGTAGGTGATCAAATACTTATGACATGCAATAAAATGCAAATTAATTACTGAAAAATCATACAATGTGATTTTCTGGATTTGTCTCTCACAGTTGAAGTGTACCTATGATAAAAATTACAGACCTCTACATGCTTTGTAAGTAGGAAAACCTGCAAAATCGGCAGTGTATCAAATACTTGTTCTCTCCACTATCTCTCTCTATATATATATATATATAAATAAACATGGGGGATTGGAAGTGATGCAGACAATTGATGGAAGTTACAATCTATCTGCAATATTAAGCTGATCTACCACAAAAAAAATATATATATATAAAAAAAAGACTTGAAGATGGCTGTCTAGCAATGATCAACAACCAACTTGACAGATCTTGGAAGAGTTTTAAAAAGAATAATGTGCAAATATTGTAAATTCCAGGTGTGCAAAGCTCTTAGAGACTTACCCAGAAAGACTCACAGCTGTAATCGCTGCCAAAGGTGATTCTAACATGTATAGACTAAGGGGTGTGAATACTTATGTAAATGTCATATTTATGTATTTCATTTTCAATAAAAGGTGACATTCTATAATGTCGCCTCATATGAAAATGTTGATCTCAAATCCAAAATGTTGGAGTAAAGAGCCACATTTTAAAACACGTTTACTGCAGTTAAACAGAGAGGACAGGGATTGATTTCAGTGTGTGCAGTGGCCAGAGGATGGCAATGTAATTCAAAATATGTGACAGAGGGATAACCTGACTTAACAAACGTAGGAATCTTAATTTGAGCCAGTTTGCTACAGCAGGAAAATAATCATGAAGCAACAAGACATTTGAATTATGTGGATTATAATTAATGGACTTTTTTTTTGTAGGGGTTGATACATTTTACGTTAGGGCAAATTCTGACATTTTAAAGTGGAAATTACACACTTTAGAATCCTTTTTAAACCTTGAATACACTACAAAATTCTCAGCAATGAAAGAGTAATCAAATGAAGATCCTACATCTGTATATGACAGAGAAGTAAGTCTCTTCTATGAAGTTAATTTAAAATCTGAACTTTCGGTTTAAGGTGAAAAGTGTGCCTGTGCCAAACTGAGAAGAGACCATCTGTCTGAATAATACCAAAGCCAACCATTTACCATCCAACCAACAACCCACTCCATCTTTTATTGTTTAGTGTTGTAGAGATCTGCTGAGAAACGACATGGAGTCCATCTTTTATTGTTTAGTGTTGTAGAGATCTTCTGAGAAACGACATGGAGTCCATCTTTTATTGTTTAGTGTTGTAGAGATCTGCTGAGAAACGACATGGAGTCCATCTTTTATTGTTCAGTGTTGTAGAGATCTGCTGAGAAACGACATGGAGTCCATCTTTTATTGTTTAGTGTTGTAGAGATCTGCTGAGAAACGACATGGAGTCCATCTTTTATTGTTTAGTGTTGTAGAGATCTGCTGAGAAACTACAGGGAATCCATATTTTCACTATCACATTTATCTACAGTGGCCAGATGAGGGCAGTATAACTACATAACAATATGTACAGTGGCCAGATGAAGGCAGTATAACTACATAACAATATGTACAGTGGCCAGATGAAGGCAGTATAACTACATAACAATATGTACAGTGGCCAGATGAAGGCAGTATAACTACATAACAATATGTACAGTGGCCAGATGAAGGCAGTATAGCTACATAACAATATGTACAGTGGCCAGATGAAGGCAGTATAGCTACAATGTGGGAGATGGACTGTGGGTTTTTGATGAGAATGGTTAAAGGCGAGAAGGAAACAGGAATGTGTACATAGCTGGGACATACAACAGTTTCTGGGACACACAATTTCTATCAGTCTGTGAGCATACACAGTCACACACGGGTTACTATACTCGGGGCTTTGCTGCATTTTAGTTTTAATACAGAAGTTTGAGGGAGGGCGACATTGCCTTGGCTAAGACCTCAGTATCTCAACAGGGTTTGGCAAAGTGTGTCCTCTCCCTTTTCTGAGACACAGTAGCCAGACATAGATCTTATTCACTGAGCCAAAACACCGTGTGAAGAGGAGGGTGAGGGAGAAAGAAAGCCTATGTCAAGACTTCAGCAGGTTGTGGTGTGCCTAGTTCATCAATCTCTACTGATGTGACTGTGTCCACTCCAGGCTCGAGGCTAGTCCAGCTAGCAGAGCCCACAGTCAGAGTCCATAGTCTGGTCTTAGAACAGCTACTTTGGGTCCCAACCAACCCTGGAGCTCCAGAACAGCGGTGCCCCACAGAGGTCTGGGCCAAGAGGTGGTGGTGACGGTAGTTGGGGTTGACCAACCACCAGGGGTCACGTAGCATTGATCTCCAGAACGTGGTCATCCGTAGAGGGCAGCACCAGGACCTGGCATCCCTGGCTGTGGTTGAAGACCTGTCCCCGGCTGAAGGGCTCCAGGCGAGGCATGGGGAGACCCCTGGGCTGCTGCTCCCCGCTGCCCACAGAGTGGACACTTCCCCGGCTACGGATGCTAGCCGTGTCCCCCTGGTCGTCCAGAGGCCGGTCCAGCAGGGAGAGGGTGTCGTTCTCTACACAGCCGTCTGTGGACAGAAGGGTAAAGGGGGAGTTAACACCTGACACAATGCATAAAAATAAAAATAAATACATACATTCATGTCAATGGTATATCTGCATGAATATTGAAGTCACATGCACACGTCAAGTTAGGACTTAACCCTGTGAGAGCCAAGCCTCAGTGAGAGGAGGAGAGAGCCTGAAGGACGGAGGTAGGACTCACCTGTATCAGGTTGGCTGGCGGAGTTAGCACTGGGAGGCAGGTACTTAAACACCTTGATGTCAGGGAATGGCAGGTGGCCAGCGAACAGGGGCATCAACTCAACCTGTACCCTGTGGTTGGCATTAGCATCCGCTGGCATGGACACCAGTCCTGAGCTTCTCCCACACACCACCCAGCTACCGCCGCTGTCTGCCACTGGAGGACAATAGAGACGCATTTAATGTGCACACCTCTCACTCTCACACTCTCTCACTCTCACACTCTCTCACACTCTCTCACACCTCTCACTCTCACACTCTCTCACTCTCTCACTCTCACACTCTCACACTCTCACACTCTCACACTCTCACACTCTCACACTCTCACACACGACTATAATCCACCACTTGAAGTAAACCCACTTTATGGATTTATGCACACTTACCTTCATACATGAGCTTGGAGGAGCAGACCTCATCGGTCTCTCCATCATTCTCATCATCATCATCATCATCATCATCAGGTTCAGCCAGTCGTGTGATGGACATCTCCAGCCCACAGAGGGAGCCAGAGTGACAGTGTTTTTCACCAGCCGCAGGCGTGATCTCAGCCCTCACGCTGTACAGCGTCTGCAACACAACACACCAGGGTTGGGGTCCATTTGGCAACGCAACACACCAGGGTTGGGGTCCATTTGGAAACAACACACCAGGGTTGGGGTCCATTTGGAAACAACACACCAGGGTTGGGGTCCATTTGGAAACAACACACCAGGGTTGGGGTCCATTTGGAAACAACACACCAGGGTTGGGGTCCATTTGGAAACAAACACCAGGGTTGGGGTCCATTTGGAAACAAACACAACAGGGTTGGGGTCCATTTGGAAAACAAACACACCAGGGTTGGGGTCCATTTGGAAACAACCACACCAGGGTTGGGGTCCATTTGGAAACAACACACCAGGGTTGGGGTCCATTTGGAAACACAACACACCAGGGTTGGGGTCCATTTGGAAACACAACACACCAGGGTTGGGGTCCATTTGGAAACACAACACACCAGGGTTGGGGTCCATTTGGAAACACAACACACCAGGGTTGGGGTCCATTTGGAAACACAACACACCAGGGTTGGGGTCCATTTGGAAACACAACACACCAGGGTTGGGGTCCATTTGGAAACACAACACACCAGGGTTTGGGGTCCATTTGGAAAACACAACACCCCAGGGTTGGGGTCCATTTGGAAACAACACACCAGGGTTGGGGTCCATTTGGAAACAACACACCAGGGTTGGGGTCCATTTGGAAACAACACACCAGGGTTGGGGTCCATTTGGAAACAACACACCAGGGTTGGGGTCCATTTGGAATTGAAGGCAGTCAATTCAGCAACTGATTTGAATTTAAAATAAAAATAAAATGGAACAACTTTTGAAATAAATATCTTCTACTTTTCAGTTTACTAAGAAGTGATTGAAAATAGATGCCCTATTATTGAATAGGAGTTCCGGTTTACTTTCTGAATTGACTGACTTTAATTCCAATTTACCCCAACTCTGCAGAACACAGATATAGAGTAGAACACAGTAGAGTAGAACACAGATGTAGAGTAGAACACAGATGTAGAGTAGAACACAGTAGAGTAGAACACAGATGTAGAGTAGAACACAGTAGAGTAGAACACAGATGTAGAGTAGAACACAGTAGAGTAGAACACAGATATAGAGTAGAACACAGTAGAGTAGAACACAGATGTAGAGTAGAACACAGTAGAGTAGAACACAGATGTAGAGTAGAACACAGTAGAGTAGAACACAGATGTAGAGTAGAACACAGATGTAGAGTAGAACACAGATGTAGAGTAGAACACAGATGTAGAGTAGAACACAGTAGAGTAGAACACAGATGTAGAGTAGAACACAGTAGAGTAGAACACAGTAGAGTAGAACACAGATATAGAGTAGAACACAGTAGAGTAGAACACAGTAGAGTAGAACACAGATATAGAGTAGAACACAGTAGAGTAGAACACAGTAGAGTAGAACACAGTAGAGTACAACACAGATATAGAGTAGAACACAGTAATAATAACTCATTAGATTGAGTGGCTTGTATCAGAGTATTAAAGGCCGTAGCCATTTTTATCGCACTATCAAGTCATTTCTTGGTAACAATAAAGATGGTAAAAAAGAAACAAAAATAACTGTTTAGCAAAAAGCTAAAGCAATAATTTTGCTCTGTCTGGGAGTGGTCTGAATGAGGGGCCTAATTGGATGAGCCTAATGGGAGGGATATGTAACCTGAAAACGAGCTGTTATTGGCAGAGAAACTCTGTTATTGGTCTATAACTTATACCGCCTGTTTCCAGGCAAGCCAAAACTACACCCATGCAAACCTGCTGATTAGTAGGTCCTGTGTAGATTGTATTTTCAATCAGAAATGATCATGAAATAACACTGATGAAAATGTTTCACACTTTTACAGTGTTAGTTTCATCAGCTGTTGTACAATACGATACAAAAACACAGGTAAAATATAAATTTTGACTACACTGGGCCTTTAAGCTGATAGGATCAGGTAGGTACCAGGTACATTAGGCTACTCACTGTCACTCTCTCCAGTTGAAACTCGTAGTGGTAGGGTTTGAAGGCTGAGACTTCCTCAGAAGCGGCAGAGAAGCTGGCAGAGAACACACACTGTAGACAGAGTGCCATGTCTTCCTTCCACCTCACATCCCATAGGCAGTACACACTCTGCTGACTGCACACCAACTAGAGAGAGAGAACCACGTGACAAAAGTCAAGATCTTTAAATCTGTGATAAAAATAGGGCTATTGGAATATTGCTGATATTGAGCCTTGTCCGAGCTTATGGCTCTTATGATGGTTCATTGTTAAAGTTACCTGTTGTGCTTTAGTGTTGAGAGACTGCAGCTCCAGAGAGGACTCCTGATGTTTCTCCGTTAGCCTCTGGTCCATCAGGTGAAAGTTCATATCTGACACGTTCTGCAGACACACCTGGATGTACTTCCTGTGGGTCAAGTCAAGGGGTAAGAGGTCAAAAGGTCAGGTCCTTTCAGATCTACAAACAGAAAACCAGCAGTACTCTGGACCTCGTAGGGTAAGATTTGAATACCCCTGGGCTAGGTGTTGTTTTTGTCCCCGGGTTTACCTGTCCCCTGCTGATAGTAGTGAGGGTTTACCTGTCCCCTGCAGAGAGTAGTGAGGGTTTACCTGTCCCCTGCAGAGAGTAGTGAGGGTTTACCTGTCCCCTGCAGAGAGTAGTGAGGGTTTACCTGTCCCCTGCTGATAGTAGTGAGGGTTTACCTGTCCCCTGCTGATAGTAGTGAGGGTTTACCTGTCCCCTGCTGATAGTAGTGAGGGTTTACCTGTCCCCTGCTGATAGTAGTGAGGGTTTACCTGTTCTCTGCTGATAGTAGTGAGGGTTTACCTGTCCCCTGCTGATAGTAGTGAGGGTTTACCTGTCCCCTGCAGAGAGTAGTGAGGGTTTACCTGTCCCCTGCTGATAGTAGTGAGGGTTTACCTGTTCTCTGCTGATAGTAGTGAGGGTTTACCTGTCCCCTGCTGATAGTAGTGAGGGTTTACCTGTCCCCTGCTGAGAGTAGTGAGGGTTTACCTGTCCCCTGCTGATAGTAGTGAGGGTTTACCTGTCCCCTGCAGAGAGTAGTGAGGGTTTACCTGTCCCCTGCAGAGAGTAGTGAGGGTTTACCTGTCCCCTGCTGATAGTAGTGAGGGTTTACCTGTCCCCTGCTGATAGTAGTGAGGGTTTACCTGTTCTCTGCTGATAGTAGTGAGGGTTTACCTGTCCCCTGCTGATAGTAGTGAGGGTTTACCTGTCCCCTGCAGAGAGTAGTGAGGGTTTACCTGTCCCCTGCTGATAGTAGTGAGGGTTTACCTGTTCTCTGCTGATAGTAGTGAGGGTTTACCTGTCCCCTGCTGATAGTAGTGAGGGTTTACCTGTCCCCTGCTGATAGTAGTGAGGGTTTACCTGTCCCCTGCTGATAGTAGTGAGGGTTTACCTGTCCCCTGCAGAGAGTAGTGAGGGTTTACCTGTTCCCTGCTGACAGTAGTGAGGGTTTACCTGTTCTCTGCTGATAGTAGTGAGGGTTTACCTGTCCCCTGCTGATAGTAGTGAGGGTTTACCTGTCCCCTGCTGAGAGTAGTGAGGGTTTACCTGTCCCCTGCAGAGAGTAGTGAGGGTTTACCTGTCCCCTGCAGAGAGTAGTGAGGGTTTACCTGTCCCCTGCAGAGAGTAGTGAGGGTTTACCTGTCCCCTGCAGAGAGTAGTGAGGGTTTACCTGTCCCCTGCAGAGAGTAGTGAGGGTTTACCTGTCCCCTGCTGATAGTAGTGAGGGTTTACCTGTCCCCTGCTGATAGTAGTGAGGGTTTACCTGTTCTCTGCTGATAGTAGTGAGGGTTTACCTGTCCCCTGCTGATAGTAGTGAGGGTTTACCTGTCCCCTGCAGAGAGTAGTGAGGGTTTACCTGTCCCCTGCTGATAGTAGTGAGGGTTTACCTGTTCTCTGCTGATAGTAGTGAGGGTTTACCTGTCCCCTGCTGATAGTAGTGAGGGTTTACCTGTCCCCTGCTGAGAGTAGTGAGGGTTTACCTGTCCCCTGCAGAGAGTAGTGAGGGTTTACCTGTCCCCTGCAGAGAGTAGTGAGGGTTTACCTGTCCCCTGCTGATAGTAGTGAGGGTTTACCTGTCCCCTGCTGATAGTAGTGAGGGTTTACCTGTTCTCTGCTGATAGTAGTGAGGGTTTACCTGTCCCCTGCTGATAGTAGTGAGGGTTTACCTGTCCCCTGCAGAGAGTAGTGAGGGTTTACCTGTCCCCTGCTGATAGTAGTGAGGGTTTACCTGTTCTCTGCTGATAGTAGTGAGGGTTTACCTGTCCCCTGCTGATAGTAGTGAGGGTTTACCTGTCCCCTGCTGAGAGTAGTGAGGGTTTACCTGTCCCCTGCAGAGAGTAGTGAGGGTTTACCTGTTCTCTGCAGAGAGTAGTGAGGGTTTACCTGTTCCCTGCTGACAGTAGTGAGGGTTTACCTGTTCCCTGCAGAGAGTAGTGAGGGTTTACCTGTCCCCTGCAGAGAGTAGTGAGGGTTTACCTGTCCCCTGCTGACAGTAGTGAGTGCTTGGCCTTAAAGGGGATGTAGAAGGTGAGTGCTTACCTGTCCCCTGCTGATAGTAGTGAGTGCTTGGCCTTAAAGGGGATGTAGAAGGTGAGTGCTTACTTGTCCCCTGCTGATAGTAGTGAGTGCTTGGCCTTAAAGGGGATGTAGAAGGTGAGGGATATAGTAGTGGAGTAAATGGACCAGGGACAGTCTATGGAGATCTGTGGACAGAGAACAGACAGAGACAATGACTGAAGATGTTACTTCTCTCCATTCAAAATAAGCCATTCAATTCTTTATAAATTAAAGAAAAATAATATTTGATTGACAATGCATAACAAATCCTGAAAGGCATTGAAAGCACTATCTACATTATTTATTTCTGCATTACTATCAACAAGATAATGTATTGTCTGAAACATAGCTCTGTCCTCAGTACCCTCTGGTTGATGGCGGTCATGTGGTTATCGGGGTGGCTGTAGCTCCGGGGCCGGTGGCGTATCTCCCCGTTTGTGAGTCTCTGGTTCCCGGGCCGGTCCGGGCCGGAAGGGATAACACACAGCACCTCCAGCTGGAACTCCAGGGTGTGATAGGGAGGGGTGGGAGGTAGAGAGATACTGGTCACCTTCTCAGACGACTGGACGGACAGAACACTCTCACCCACACGCTCTGCAGAGGGGAGGGGGAGGAAGAGGAAGAGAGATACTCGGTGAGGGATGAGGAAGGATGATTGGTGTGGAACTAAATAGAGAAGCAAGACATGGAAGAGGCAGGAAACTATAGTTAGGGTCAGGAGGTCAACGTAGGGTGCTTTCACATACCCTCTGTATGATCCGGATCCTGGAGCATTTAGTGCCCTGATCCGAGATATAAAGCATGTGTGAAACGCAAACGAACCCTGGCTGAAACGAGTGGCAGGTATTGTGACGCGGCGGCGCAAGTCGCGTGTAACTTTTCGTTCATTGTAAACAAACATCATTCTACATCATGTAGAATATGCGTCTCGCAAATCGCATCCTGAAACTGTTATTTTCAGGGCTTGTGGAAGCAAAACGTATTTTGTAGAATTCTAGAATTTTTTTGGTAGAAACGCTCCAAGATACCGAACCAGGGAACTGAATTTCATATGTGAAAACAACATTTCTCACGATTTCTCTGTTCTGACCTGCAGTGCTGTTGAGGATGGTAGCAGGGCAGGAGGAGGTGGAGAGGATGGCCATGGTGTCCATGTTAGTGAGCTGCAGGGCGTCTCCCTTCTTCACAGTGTAGTGACCTGTCTGCAGCCTGACCTTTGCCCTCTGGGGGAGGCCTGCCAGCAGCTGGTCTGAAACAGAGACAGTGTGTGTTTTTGAAATGGTCCTTTCAAAATGGTATTTTATATTTCCAATACATGACAGTCACCAACAACAACACAAAACATACAATATACAAAAGAAAACACAAATGCATAACACAAAACAACAGCAATGAAATATTTCCGTCATCCTCTTGGTACATCGACTTCAATACAAAACCTAGGAGGCTCATGGTTTACACCCCCTTCCATAGACTTACACAGTAATTATGACTACTTCTGGAGGACGTCCTCCAACCTATCAGAGCTCTTGCAGCATGAACTGACATGTTGTCCACCCAATCAAAGGATCAGAGACGGAATATAGCACTGAAAGCATAAGCTACAGCTAGCTAGTACTGCAGTGCATAACATGTGGTGAGTAGTTGACTCAAAGAGAGAGAAAGACAATAGTTGAACAGTTTTGAACAAATTAATTTCTTCAAAAATGAAGGAGAAGTGAGAGAGAGAGAGCTAGCTATATTTTGTTTAAAAAATAAAAAATAGTTTACCTTTCACTTACTTAGCTAATGCAGCTCATTTAAGCCTACTCAACAACCTGACTCAAACAGAGAGGATTGCTATATATGTTGGCTAGCTAGCTAGCTGGCTAAGGCTATCCAACACGGCAACTCGTCCAAGTCTAGGTAAGCTTTCGGTTTTATTAATTTATTGCCACCCGGGCTAAACTGCTTGCTGTACACTGTAATGCGTGATTGTACACATTGATTGGATTGTGGGTTTACTAAATGCGTTAGTTTTAGTTTGTTGACTATAACGTTAAATATGGTGACAACAATGTAAGCTGTGTAGCGGTTAGCGTTTATGGTATGAAGGTTTGGCTAGGAGAGGTTTTTGCGCCTGGTCACAGACAACTGTTGTGTTGTGCACTGAAGTCCACAAGCGAAGGGAAAAAGGTGAGAGGAGGTGAGCGCGTAGATGCGAGAAATAATTATACAACGAGCAAAGTGATGATGCTGTTTGACTGCTATGAACGTGAACTGTGTGCGGGTGAACAGGGGGTGTATTCATTCTGCAGATTCTGTTGCAAAATGTTTCTTAAAAGGGATACTTCTGGATTTTGTCAATGAGGCCCTTTATCTACTTCCTGAGAGTGAGCAATGACTGGAAGTCTACGGGTATCTGATTGGCTCACGAAACTACCTCTAACTTCCTTCATATTCGACACACAGACATTAAAAATGGTATCCACATGTTCATCTGACTCTGAGGAAGTAGATAAAGGGCCACAATCCCAAAGTTTCCCTTTAAAGGAAGCAAATGGAACGAAACGGGGGAGGCACCTACCTAAATTTGAAACTCTTGTTTGAGTGTGTAACGTTTTGCAACTGTTTGGACAAATTATTACACCCCAGATCTGCTGGAGTCAAAATGCAAGCCGAGATCTACCACTAAGATTAATTTTTAAACATTACTTAAAAATGTAAGCCTATGCAACATTAACCAATTAAAAACAGTTTTGTAGCAGTGAGGTTTGTTCAGTAGGCTATAGGCCCAGTACATTATCACTGCATATTGGCTATGCTTGAATTACCCTGCCAATGTTGTTCTTCTCAGACTATTTAGAGATTATATTTCAACATGTTAGGTGTATGATCACACTGGTAATAGATCGTTTGTTGTATTACTTGTGGAGGCACAACTGAGTGAGCAGAATCATTTTTTTTATTTTTTTTAACTGGACTAATGGCCTGCATCTGATAGTCAGTCTGAGGTGAGGGAGGGAGCAGCGGTGAGGCTGCCTCTCACCCGACTCACCGTCCCTCCCTCCCTCCCTCCCTCCCTCCGCTGAGAAAAGGGGACAGTCTTCCAGCTGATGGCGAAAACTCACACTGCATTATTTCTGCCTCATGCACTTATTCATGTTGTTACTTCCTCGATATAAAAAAAAAAGACACAAGCCACAAATAATAACAACGCAAGCTTATCGGAACACTTTGCGATACTCCTTCATTGCAGCTGCATTGCTGGTTGTAGCGTGAGTGGAAGTAGGGAGAATGCATTTTAGTGTTGAACAAAGTGTTGACAGTGCTGAATAACAACTTAAACAGGAACATGCTGATAATAACAGCAGCTCTTTGCTGTATTTATTGAGTCTCTCTCTAGTCATGGTTTTAAAAGTTCTTAAATCTCACAGTTTCAACTTTGCTGTGCGTTCAAGGTTTCTTTTTCACAGTCTATTGAGTGAGGAAACTGTGCAGACACGGTGATCTGAGCTATCTGATTGGCCAGCGGTATGGCCTGTAGGTGCACTTGATTTGCCCTCTGGGCCTGCCGGGTAGGCGCAGTTCTACCTTCAGATACATGAAATGGTTCAAAATTGGAACATTTCACCTTCCCGGCGCCAGGGCTGCTGAATCAAGTGCACCTACCGCCAACAGCGCGAAACGAATAAAACAAATAGGAACGCAAGGCTTTATCGTTGGGTTTTTTACAGAAATGTTTGGTGATCGACCAGGAATGGCTTGGGGATCGACCGGTTGGTGACCACTGAGCTAGATGCAGCCAAGAGTATGCAAGGCGGTATTGAACGCGTCAATGTCTGTCACCTTGATGACTCCCAATCTGTCTCTGGTCCTGTGCACCTACGTTATAAACTTTCAATTGTACGCTATATATGGGCAAATTTGAGTATCATGTTACCTTGAGCTGGGTGAATGGAATATGAATGACTGTCATCCAATATGCTGTAATATAAATAAGGCCATGCTCATGAAAACATTTCTTTTTCGTCCTGCCTCATCTTAAACGGCACAGACCGCCACTGGTGTGTGGTAGTACAGGTGTGATTATACCAGTCATTTGAACTGTGTGTATCATAGACAAAGTTTGAGTGTTTCAATTAGTAGGTTTTGTTATCTGTTTAAACAAACCTGTTTTATTTTTGTACTTAAAGATTGTATATTGTTTTTTTGTGGTGTGGTTTTCATATAATAATTAATAATAATTAGTCATTTAGCAGACGGTCTTATCCAGAGCGATTTACAGGAGCAATTAGGGTTAAGTGCCTTGCTCAAGGGCACAGACAGATTTTTCACCTAGTCGGCTCGGGGATTAGAACCAGCGACCTTTCGGTTACTGGCACAACGCTCTTAACCACTAAGCTACCTGCCGCCCATATCAGCCCCTTGGGCTTCCAACCACACCTGCACACCCTTTTATTAAAATGAGTTTTTATCTGTATTGTTGTCTATCACTTGTTTTCTTTGGCGTAAATAACTAAAACTAAAACTAAATGTGTCAGAGAGAGAGAGAGAGATACCTGTGAGGGGCTCCACGGTGAGCTGGGGCTCCTGAGAATAGACCTCGTACTGGACCAGAGGAGAGATGTGAGGCAGGACAAACTGGACCTGGCCCACTGTGGCACACAGCTGACGCAATGTGTAGGTACCCGGCTCCTGACTCTACACCAGGGGAGAGAGAGAGGGAGAGAAAGAGAGAGAGAGAGAAAAGAGTCAATGGACAATCTACAATCTCAAGTGATAATGACGTCCTGTAGTTACACTAACAGCCCTGTACTGTGGAAGAATACAATCACAGCATTATATTAATAGTCTTACTGGCACACTGAAGACAATGCTGTTGTTGCCTGGCAGCAGAGTGACATCACCGCTCATTAGAATCTGTGCCCCGTCATCCACGACAACAGGAACTGGGCTGAGAAGGTTGGGCGTGTCCGGTGACGGGCTGCTGTCATGACGACGCATGACCAGGTGTGTGTTCTTACACACAATGCCGGCGGAGTTGAGCGTACGAGGGTCTGAGGGGCTGCGGTCCTGGATCTCCTCCAGCTCCAGAGAAGGACCAGCAGCGGAAGGGGGCATCCCTGAGGAGTTATCCAGGGGGAAAAGCACCGTCCCTGGGTATGGCCGTCTCTGTGGCCCCCTGGTCTTCCCATTAGTCCCTCCCTGCTCCAGGTTTAAGTGAACACTGACAGACAGCTGCTCCAGAGGCACAGCCACAGGCATCAGGCTGCGCAGACACAACTCCACCTGCAGGGCGGCGCCAGAGTGCACCGTGGCTGTTGCCGGGCGGAACTGCAGCTGCGTGAGCTGGGCGAACAAACTCATACTGAGCGCCACCTTCTGGGCTGCAGAGGGATAAGATGGGAAGGGAGAGAGACAGGGGCACGGTGAAATATAATAACGTGTCAATGGATGGATCTACATCAGGGCATCCAACCCTAATCTAGCACACCTGATTCTGGTTGATAAGATTCATCTGTGGCACGTTCAGCAGGACGCAACATTCTGGAACTTTCCGAAAGAAATATGTTATGTAGAACAAGCATGCCTCTCTGACATGTAGAATAAGGAATCATGTCAGCTCCAATCAATGGCATTTCTATCTGCAACATTCGAAAACGTTTGGCAACAGAACGAGGCCCAGGCTAGTTAAAACTGGGGTTGGAGCGAAAACCTACAGGACAGGAGGGTAGCTCTCCAGGAACAGGGTTGGACCTAAACCATGATGACTAACTCAAATAATCTACTATGACTGGCTGCTTACCCTTGCTGTCTGTTGATTGGTTGGCGAAGGTCAGGATCTCCTGACAGAAGTGGATCCTCTCCTCATTGGTCAGATTGGCATCACCTGCCAACAAGGCGCTTGTCTGCAGGTAGCTAAGGGTGGGTTGTCAAGGAAACCGGCAGCCAATGGGCAATGAGAACATGAGCTACGAGGAAGACATTGGTCCTTCATACTACCCTATAGCAGTAAACATCCTTTGCTATTTGTTGTTGGTTTCTATTTGTATTTATTTGTATTTATTTTATGTGATATGTGTTATGACTGCTGCAAAATGAATTGCCTCTCTGAGGACATCAACGTTCTCTGAATCTGAGTATAGAAGAAGTGAATGACATTCATTCAAAGTGATCACATAATGGCAACAATTGACATCTTTGGTATTACACTTTTCCACTCATTTACATCCAGTGAAGGTTCCTCTCTAGGTTTCTTCCCAGGTTCCTGTCTTCTAGGTCACATGAGTCTGGTTCCTCTCTAGGTTTCTTCCCAGGATCCTGCCTTCTAGGCCATATGAGCCTGGTTCCTCTCTAGGTTTCTTCCTAGGTTCCTGCCTCTTAGGGACTTTTTCCTAGCCCCTGTGCTACTGCTTCTGCATTGCTTGCACTTTGGGGTTTCATTGATTGACTGATTAAAGGATACTTCTCTGTCCTCCCCAGCAGTTTCTGGCACTCAGCCATCTGCTTCCTGGTGTGAGTGACAGGTATACTCCATCCCTCTGACACGTATGACCTCAGAGCATCCTGCAAGAAGCCCTCCGCCTGCTCAGGGTCACCCTTCCTCCTTATTACACACACACACACACACACACACACACACACACACACACACACCACACACACACACACACACACACAAAATGAAGTTCCTACAGGTCATGTACTTGACTTGTTGACTGTGCAGAAGATGGTAGAAAGACATTTCCAGGCAGCAGATTGTTGAGAAGTGGAATGACGACCAACGTCCATCACGGTCTCTTACATGTAGAACTCTGCCAAGCTCTTTCCGACGAGCAGCGCTGACCTCATCCTGCCGATGGCCCTGTACATCTCCACAGCAGCATGAGACAACTCCTGATGGACAGAGGGAGGGAGGGAGGGAGGGAGGGAGGGAGGGAGGGAGAGAGAGAGGGAGGGAGGGAGGGAGGGAGGGAGGGAGGGAGGGAGGGAGAGAGGGAGGGAGGTAGGGAGGGTAGGGAGGGAGGGAGGGAGGGAGGGAGGGTAGAGGGGAGAGGGAGGGAGGGAGGGAGGGAGGTAGGGAGGGAGGTAGGGAGGGAGGGAGGGGGGGGAGGGAGGGAGGTAGGGAGGGAGGGAGGGAGGGAGGGAGGGAGGGAGGGAGGGAGGGAGGGAGGGGGGGGGGGGGGGGGGAGGGAGGGAGGGAGGGAGGGAGGGAGGTAACAGGGGGATAAAATTGATGCTGTTTAGTTTTAAGACTCAAGCCAACAGACTTTTTATCTGAAAGACTGTCACCGCATACAAACCAACATGTTTCATATCTGAACTTACAAGATAGTGTCTCTCAAACGCCTCCACAGAAGACAGGGCCTCCTTCAGTTTTTTATACGGGCTCTGCAAGCTGTGGACTGAAAGAGAGGAGAGACAGAGAGAGAAGAGGAGGAGGAGTCCTCTGTACCATTTGGCTCAGAACCCTATCCTATACCTCATCCCATCTGCTTCATCAATGTCAATGTACTGAGAGCCTATGTCAAGTTAATGTTTTTTATTCCTGCCTATAATTGTTATACTCCCCAATGACACCCTAACCCCCCCCCCCCCCCCCCCCCCCCACCCCCCACCCCTCCCACCCCCTCACCAGTCTCAGGCTTCTCATCCCCCAGTCCAGCCAGCAGGTCCACAGTTCTGTTCAGCTCCAGAGACAGTGGACCCTTCTCTGACACCAGACCACACATATAACCCAGAGACTTCAGCTGGGAAAGAGAGGGAGGGAAGGAAGAGTTGAAGAAATTAAGAAGAAAGAAAAACAATATGAAAAGTTCAAGGGGAGTAGTGATGAGGTATAGTTATAGTAGTTATAATATACAGTGCCTTGCAAAAGTATTCATCCCCCTTGGTGTTTTTCCTATTTTGTTGCATTACAACCTGTAATTGAAATTGATTTTTATTTGGATTTCATGTAATGGACATACACAAAATAGTCCAAATTGGTGAAGTGAAATGAAAAAAATAACTTGCTTCAAAAAATTCAAAAAAAATAAATAACGGAAAAGTGGTGCATGCATACAGTGGGGAGAACAAGTATTTGATACACTGCCGATTTTGAAGGTTTTCCTACTTACAAAGCATGTAGAGGTCTGTAATTTTTTATCATAGGTACACTTAAACTGTGAGAGATGGAATCGAAAACAAAAATCCAGAAAATCACATTGTATGATTTTTAAGTAAGTAATTTTATTGCATGACATAAGTATTTGATACATCAGAAAAGCAGAACTTAATATTTGGCAACACCACTAAGCAAGGGGCACCACCAAGCAAGCAGCACCATGAAGACCAAGGAGCTCTCCAAATAGGTCAGGACAAAGTTGTGGAGAAGTACAGATCAGGGTTGGGTTCTAAAAAAAATATCAGAAACTTTGAACATCCCACGGAGCACCATTAAATCCATTATTAAAAAATGGAAAGAATATGGCACCACAACAAACCTGCCAAGAGAGGGCTGCCCACCAAAACTCACAGACCAGGCAAGGAGGGCATTAATCAGAGAGGCAACAAAGAGACCAAAGATAACCCTGAAGGAGCTGCAAAGCTCCACAGCGGAGATTGGAGTATCTGTCCATACGACCACTTTAAGCCGTACACTACACAGAGCTGGGCTTTACGGAAGAGTGGCCAGAAAAAAGCCATTCCGTAAAGAAAAAAAATAAGCAAACACGTTTGGTGTTCGCCAAAACGCATGTGGGAGACTCCCAAACATATGAAAAAAGGTAGTCTGGTCAGATGAGACTAAAATTGAGCTTTTTGGCCATCAAGGAAAACGGTATGTCTGGCGCAAACCCAACACCTATCATCACCCGAGAACACCATCCCCACAGTGAAGCATGGTGGTGGCAGCATCATGCTGTGGGGATGTTTTTCATCGACAGGGACTGGGAAACTGGTCAGAATTGAAGGAATGATGGATGGCGCTAAATGCAGGGAAATTCTTGAAAAGGTGGCTCTACAAGGTATTGACTTTGGGGGGGGGGGGTGAATAGTTATGCACGCTCAAGTTCTGTTTTTTTGTCTTATTTCTTGTTTGTTTCACAATAAAAAATGTTTTTGCATCTTCAAAGTGGTAGGCATGTTGTGTAAATCAAATGATACAACCCCCCCCCCCCAAAACAATCAATTTTAATTCTAGGTTGTATGGCAACAAAATAGGAAAAATGCCAAGGGGGGTGAATACTTTCGCAAGCCACTGTAATAGTGTTGTGCTACCTTCAAATCAATCAAATATATTTTATGAAGCCCTTTTTACATCAGCGGGTGTCACAAAGTGCTTTACAGAAACCCAACCTAAAACCCCAAAGAGCAAGCAATGCAGAGGCAGAAGCACAGTGGCTAGGAAACACTCCCTAGAAGACAGGAACCTGGGAAGAAACCTAGAGAGGAACCAGGCTCATATGGCCTAGAAGGCAGGAACCTGGGAAGAAACCTAGAGAGGAACCAGGCTCATGTGGCCTAGAAGACAGGAACCTGGGATGAAGCCTAGAGAGGAACCAGGCTCATGTGGCCTAGAAGACAGGAACCTGGGAAGAAACCTAGAGAGGAACCAGGCTCATATGGCCTAGAAGACAGGGACCTGGGATGAAGCCTACCTTGTCAGTAGCATAGGCCCACAAGCCCACCGTGTGGGAGACATTAGCCTCTAGCTGGGCCTGGTCACAGCAGCCTTCTATACGGTGCAGAACCTCCAAGCAGCTGAGGAAGACCCAGCAGTCTAACGCCCCCTCTAGCATAGACACCTACACAACAACAACAACAACAACAGTTTAGCTAACAGCACACTGCAAATTTGCTTGAAATTTACCCATAGAAAAATAAAAAATCTGTGAAAAAGAGAGAGGAGAGGGAAAGAGAGTGAGAGTAACCGTACCCCATCCCATCATCACCCAGTAACCGTACCCCATCACCACCCAGTAACCGTACCCCATCCCATCACCACCCAGTAACCGTACCCCATCCCATCACCACCCAGTAACCGTACCCCATCCCATCATCACCCAGTAACCGTACCCCATCCCATCACCACCCAGTAACCGTACCCCATCATCACCCAGTAACCGTACCCCATCCCATCATCACCCAGTAACCGTACCCCATCACCACCCAGTAACCGTACCCCATCCCATCATCACCCAGTAACCGTACCCCATCACCACCCAGTAACCGTACCCCATCCCTCACCACCCAGTAACCGTACCCCATCCCATCACCACCCAGTAACCGTACCCCATCATCACCCAGTAAACCGTACCCCATCACCACCCAGTAACCGTACCCCATCATCACCCAGTAACCGTACCCCATCCCATCATCACCCAGTAACCGTACCCCATCACCACCCAGTAACCGTACCCCATCCCTCACCACCCAGTAACCGTACCCCATCCCATCACCACCCAGTAACCGTACCCCATCATCACCCAGTAACCGTACCCCATCACCACCCAGTAACCGTACCCCATCATCACCCAGTAACCGTACCCCATCCCATCATCACCCAGTAACCGTACCCCATCACCACCCTATAACCGTACCCCATCCCATCACCACCCAGTAACCGTACCCCATCCCATCACCACCCAGTAACCGTACCCCATCACCACCCAGTAACCGTACCCCATCATCACCCTGTAACCATACCCCATCCCATTACCACCCTATAACCATACCCCATCATCACCCAGTAACCGTACCCCATCCCATCATCACCCAGTAACCGTACCCCATCCCATCATCACCCAGTAACCATACCCCATCACCACCCAGTAACCGTACCCCATCACCACCCAGTAACCGTACCCCATCACCACCCAGTAACCGTACCCCATCCCATCACCACCCTGTAACCGTACCCCATCCCATCACCACCCAGTAACCGTACCCCATCACCACCCAGTAACCGTACCCCATCACCACCCAGTAACCGTACCCCATCCCATCACCACTAAGTAACCGTACCCCATCACCACCCAGTAACCGTACCCCATCATCACCCTGTAACCATACCCCATCCCATTACCACCCTATAACCATACCCCATCACCACCCAGTAACCGTACCCCATCACCACCCAGTAACCGTACCCCATCACCACCCAGTAACCGTACCCCATCCCATCACCACCCAGTAACCGTACCCCATCACCACCCAGTAACCGTACCCCATCCCATCACCACCCAGTAACCGTACCCCATCCCATCATCACCCAGTAACCGTACCCCATCACCACCCAGTAACCGTACCCCATCCCATCACCACCCAGTAACCGTACCCCATCACCACCCAGTAACCGTACCCCATCCCATCACCACCCAGTAACCGTACCCCATCCCATCACCACCCTATAACCGTACCCCATCCCATCACCACCCTATAACCGTACCCCATCACCACCCAGTAACCGTACCCCATCCCATCACCACCCAGTAACCGTACCCCATCACCACCCAGTAACCGTACCCCATCACCACCCAGTAACCGTACCCCATCCCATCACCACCCAGTAACCGTACCCCATCACCACCCAGTAACCGTACCCCATCATCACCCAGTAACCGTACCCCATCACCACCCAGTAACCGTACCCCATCACCACCCGGTAACCGTACCCCATCCCATCACCACCCAGTAACCGTACCCCATCACCACCCAGTAACCGTACCCCATCCCATCATCACCCAGTAACCGTACCCCATCACCACCCGGTAACCGTACCTCCAGCAGGCATAGCTCCTGGACACAGTTCTGCAGCAGCTCCAAGGCTCTCTGTGTGACCTCCCAGGGCCTCTGGAGGAAGATGAGCAGGGTACACTGCCGACAGAACAGGTAGCTGCGTAGCTCCAGCAGGCTAGCTTGGCCGCGCTGGATCCCATCTCTCTTCTCCATGTCTATGGGCTGCCGCAGGAGCAAGCCGGTCCAGCTCTTCACCGGGGAGCAGAAGGATCCCAGCCAGTTGGCCCCATCTACACAAAGACACAGAGACGAGCAGAATAAAAAAAAACTAGATGTTTATTTTAATGTATTGAATCGCTGACTTATAAAGCTTGAGTGATTTTTTTTATTTATTTTTTATTATTTTATTAGGATCCCCATTAGCTGTTGCAAAAAACAGCAGCTACTCTTCCTGGGGTCCACACAAAACATGAAACATGACATAATACAGAACATTAATAGATAAGAACAGATCAAGGACAGAACTAAAAAGGCAGACGTGGCCAACATATCAATACATACACACAAACTATCTAGGTCAGATAGAGGAGAGGCGTTGTGCTGTGAGGTGTTGCTTTATCTGTTTTTTGAAACCAGGTTTGCTGTTTATTTGAGCAATATGAGATGGAAGGGAGTTCCATGCAATAATGGCTCTATATAATACTGTACGCTTTCTTGAATTTGTTCTGTATTTGGGGACTGTGAAAAGTCCCCTGGTGGCATGTCTGGTGGGGTAAGTGTGTATGTCAGAGCTGTGTGTAAGTTGACTATGCAAAAATGTTGCATTTTCAACACATGAATGTTTCTTATAAAAAGAAGAAGTACTGCAGTCAGTCTCTCCTCTACTGTTAGCCAAGAGAGACTGGCATGCATAGTATTAATATTAGCCCTCTGATTACAATGAAGAGCAAGACGTGCTGCTCTGTGAGAGGGAGACGTGCTGCTCTGTGAGAGGGAGACGTGCTGCTCTGTGAGAGGGAGACGTGCTGCTCTGTGAGAGGGAGAAGTGCTGCTCTGTGAGAGGGAGACGTGCTGCTCTGTGAGAAGGAGACGTGCTGCTCTGTGAGAGGGAGAAGTGCTGCTCTGTGAGAGGGAGACGTGCTGCTCTGTGAGAGGGAGACGTGCTGCTCTGTGAGAGGGAGACGTGCTGCTCTGTGAGAGGGAGAAGTGCTGCTCTGTGAGAGGGAGACGTGCTGCTCTGTGAGAGGGAGAAGTGCTGCTCTGTGAGAGGGAGAAGTGCTGCTCTGTGAGAGGGAGACGTGCTGCTCTGTGAGAGGGAGATGTGCTGCTCTGTGAGAGGGAGACGTGCTGCTCTGTGAGAGGGAGACGTGCTGCTCTGTGAGAGGGAGACGTGCTGCTCTGTGAGAAGGAGACGTGCTGCTCTGTGAGAGGGAGACGTGCTGCTCTGTGAGAGGGAGACGTGCTGCTCTGTGAGAGGGAGATGTGCTGCTCTGTGAGAGGGAGACGTGCTGCTCTGTGAGAGGGAGACGTGCTGCTCTGTGAGAAGGAGACGTGCTGCTCTGTGAGAGGGAGACGTGCTGCTCTGTGAGAGGGAGACGTGCTGCTCTGTGAGAGGGAGACGTGCTGCTCTGTGAGAAGGAGACGTGCTGCTCTGTGAGAGGGAGACGTGCTGCTCTGTGAGAGGGAGATGTGCTGCTCTGTGAGAGGGAGACGTGCTGCTCTGTGAGAGGGAGACGTGCTGCTCTGTGAGAGGGAGACGTGCTGCTCTGTGAGAAGGAGACGTGCTGCTCTGTGAGAGGGAGACGTGCTGCTCTGTGAGAGGGAGATGTGCTGCTCTGTGAGAGGGAGATGTGCTGCTCTGTGAGAGGGAGACGTGCTGCTCTGTGAGAGGGAGACGTGCTGCTCTGTGAGAGGGAGACGTGCTGCTCTGTGAGAGGGAGACGTGCTGCTCTGTGAGAGGGAGACGTGCTGCTCTGTGAGAGGGAGACGTGCTGCTCTGTGAGAGGGAGACGTGCTGCTCTGTGAGAGGGAGTTTGTGGCTATACATGTATGTGGTCCTTTAGCTCAGTTGGTAGAGCATGGTGCTTGCAACGCCAGGATTGTGGGTTTGATTCCCAGGGCCACCCGTCCGTAAAATGTATGCACGCATGACCGTAAGTCGCTTTGGATAAAAGCGTCCGCTAAATGGGCACATAATATTATATATATGAGATGACTTATAAAGCATGAGTGAGTTTGTGGCTAGATATGTACCTCCAGCCCCGAAGTTAAGGACATACTGAGTGAAGAGCGCATCCAGCTCGTCATACTGGATCAGAGCATCCTCAAACTGCTGCAGCATCTCAAACACAAAGGCCAACTCCTCCTGCACACAACAAAAACACAGATCAGATACACACACACACCACACGTGATCAAACCTACAGCTCAGAAACTGATATAGACTCATATATACACACACACACACAATACATACACATCCTCTTCTTCCTGTATACAACCACATATTCACACCGGAGACATGCTCTCACGTGAAACACACACAGACAGACAAGCACGGACCTACCTGTACCATGAAGTAGTCACAGAAGCTCCAACCGGGCTGATTGCGTTTCTCCCGGAGTGTGCGCATGTCATCCTCGAAGCGTCCCAGGTTCTGAGTGAAGGACATCAACAGCAGAGTCCTCAGCTTTAGCAGGAAGGCACTCCACGACTCCTGAGACCTGGACGAGTCCTTTAGAGGGTCTGACAGAACCACACACCTAGGAGGGAGGGAGGGGGAGAGAGAGGGAGAGGAGAGAGAGAGAGAGAGAGAGAGAGAGAGAGAGAGAGAAGGCAGAGATTTCCACCAGTCATTTTGTTCTGATCTGTCAGATCAAATCTGTCTTGTGGCTATTTGTGTTTCTCATTTCCAGCCTCCATTTTGTTTGTATCCTGTGTTGTAATGTGTGTCCATTTTGTTTGTATCTTGTGTTGTAATGTGTGTCCATTTTGTTTGTATCTTGTGTTGTAATGTGTGTCCATTTTGTTTGTATCCTGTGTTGTAATGTGTGTCTCACCGGTCGTTCTGCTTGTTACAGAAGTCATTGCGGATCTTGTCCACTAAGGAGGAGCGAGGCAGGATGTTGGTCTTGTTCTTCTTCTTGGCATCGCTGGTCTCCACAACAACGATGACCCAGTCAGCTGACCCGTGGAGCCGCAGGTTGCCCTGCCACCTCATCATGTCGTCCCTCACTGATGCCTTGTACACCTCTGTGTCCTAGAGGGTTTATTGACGGTTCATTATTCATTCATAATGTTGTTTAGAAATCATTTAGAAATCAGTTATAACTCATTGGTTAGTCCTTTCTCAACCCCTAATAATAATAATAATAATAATAATAATAATAATAATAATAATAATAATAATAATAATAATAATAATGAGGTATGTTTTGTGTGTTCATTGTTCAGACATTGATACAGACCATCATAAAGTAACTCTCACATTACGAGTCAAATAAACGGTATCTCCAGTCACTTTTCAGGGCATCAATTGCCAGGAAATACTACTGGTGCAAACCGCTACAGGAGTCATTAACAGTGGCGGTCAGGGCCGTTTATGATGAGGGAGGACGATTTTTCTTTCTCATGAGCATGGCCTTATTTCTATTACAGCATATTGGATGACTCTCATTCATATTCCATTCACCAAGTTCAATGTAACAGCGTTAGGTTTAGGCTACTACATGATACTCGAATTTTCCCTGTACCCATCATGAGGTTGCTACAACCTAGCCTATGAATGAAAGTTTACAACGTAGGTGCACACAGGTCGAGAGACACATTTGAGGTCACAGACAGTGACACATGGACAGCGACACATTCAATACCGCCTTGCACACTCTTGCCTGCATCTAGCTGATCTAGGGTGTAATCATTAGTCCAACCGTTGCAAACAAGAGTTTCTATTGGACAAATTCAGGTATGTTTATCCCCGTTTTGTACCGTTTGCTTCCGTTTAAGAAAAGTTTTTCAACAGAATCGGCGGAATGAATACACCCCTGATCACACGTAAAACACAGTTTACTTTCATAGCAGCCACTTTGTATTCCTTGTCGCATCTACGCGCTCTCCTCCTCTCACCTCTTCCCTTCGCTTGTGGACATCAATGCACAACACATCAGCTGTAGGTGACCAGGCAAAAAAAACTTTTCCAAGCCAAACCGCTACAAACAGCCTACATCGTTGTCACCATATTAGCTAAAGTAACGTCATAGTCAGCATTGCTAATAGAACTAACGCGTTAGTAAAACCCACTACAATCATGCAGTAATGTTACAGTGTACAGTCAGTAAGCAGTTTAGCAGTTAGACCGGCGGGGCCCCGGTGGCAATAAATTAGTAAAACCAAAAGCTTACCATGACTTGGAAGAGTTCTAGTGTTGTGTTGGAAAGTCATAGCCAGCTAGCTAACATAGCAACCCTCTGTTTGAGCAGGGTGTTTCAGTAGGCTCAATTAGCTGCATTTGCTGGCTAAGTAAGTGAAAAGAAATGACAAAATCTCTCTCTCTCGCTCTTGCTTGCTTCTCCTTCATTTTGGAATAAATTGATTTGTTAAAAACTGTTCAACAATTGTCTTTCTCTCTCTTTGAGTCAACTACTCACCACATTTTATACACTGCAGTGCTAGCTAGCTGTAGCTTATGCTTTAAGTACTAGATAATTCTCTGATCCTTTGATTGGGTGGACAACATGTCAGTTCATGCTGAAAGAGCTCTGATAGGCTGGATAGACGTCCTCCTAAAGTTGTTATAATTACTGTGTAAGTCTATGGAAGGGGGTGAGAACCATGAGCCTCCTAGGTTTTGTATTGAAGTCAATGTACCCAGAGGAGGACGGAAGCTAGCTGTCCTCCGGCTACACCATGGTGCTACCCTACAGAGTGCTGTTGAGGCTACTGTAGACTTTCTTTGCAAAATAGTGCGTTTTAATGAATTATTTTGTGACATGTTATTATTTTTAGTATAGTTTTATCTAAAAAGGATAACTTTTTTTAAATGTTTTACAATTTTAATTTTTATGAAATTCACTGAGGATGGTCCTCTCCTTCCTCCTCTGAGGAGCCTCCTCTGGTCATTGCTATATCGTACTTCAATGTCCTGGATGAATGCTTGTGAATGACATCTTTAAATGAGTCCAACAGCCTTGAGATACTAAAGAACTAAAGAGCTTCTCACACAAAAGGCTCCCTGCAATAGCTATCCGTTACGCAATGTTTCCTACGTCGGTCACGAGTCGCTGACTGGACTGCACTTCATTAAACAAGTAAACTGCCCTTTTAGTACATCAACCGCTGTTTCTGTTTCCTTAGCACTTTTCCACTGAACAGCTCTCTCCCTAATCCCCCTGAACAAACTGAGGGGCCAGCCAGTTTACACTCATTAGGAGAACAAACAGACACACAGACACAGACACACACACACACACACACACACACACACACACACACACACACACACACACACACACACACACACACACACACACACACACACACACACACACACACACACACACACACACACACACACACACACACACACACTAAGGAGAATAGTAGAAGGATCCTCCTGGGACTAAACGCAAACAATATGTGGACCAGCTTGAATACACAACATGTAATGTGTTTTGTCTGTCAGCCATCCATCTGCTGCCTGTTCATAGGACCTTGTGCACTAATAATCCACTCTGGATCAAAATCATCTAGATATGGTGGGATGTAACAGACTATGGACAGTAGAATTGTGTGCGTGTGTGTGTGTGTTTACATGAAACGGGCACGCCACCACTTACACAGCAGTCTGTCCAGTAGATATGGAGGAAAGGGAAGGTGAGGAGAGTTTTGTTTCCCTCTTTAGGGAGGAGCTCCTCTTTGAACTGGACAAAGTTGGCCTCTAGATGGATCATCTTTGGTGCTCGTCCATACGACCTGGAGATTTAAAAAACCATTATGATATAGACGGTCTATAAGGAGTTTATACATTATAATGTGTATACACTGAGATGCTCTTATCTAGCATGGACCATTAAACCAACATATAGGTCGACAAATCCATTCAGCAGTACCAAAAAAAAAACGGTTTCAATTAGACCAATTACATCCTGGCACATCTTGTCAACACTCACCTCCTCCACTCCATTGGTTCCCTGGGAAGCTGCTGGGCCAAATGGGTGTAGAGAGATGTGAACAAGGTCTGGTCCCCAGCGCCTGGTGGAGAGAGGGGGGGGAGATTAGGGAAGAGGAAGAGGAAAGGAAGGAGGAGAGAGAGAGAGAGTGAGCAGAACAGAAAATCCCCTGATACCCAATAAGAGCCTGTCAACACAGGATTATATGTTCATTTAAAATAGCAAGTCGAACTTCAGGACTGGAATTGAATAGCCCTGCCCTACAATCCAGCTCCACTCAATCCGGCCTGCCGGCTGTCACCCCTCTCTCCTAGTGTTCTGTTCCCAGACACATACAGTGGGGGAAAAAAGTATTTAGTCAGCCACCAATTGTGCAAGTTCTCCCACTTAAAAAGATGAGAGAGGCCTGTAATTTTCATCATAGGTACACGTCAACTATGACAGACAAATTGAGAAAAAAAAAATCCAGAAAATCACATTGTAGGATTTTTAATGAATTTATTTGCAAATTATGGTGGAAAATAAGTATTTGGTCACCTACAAACAAGCAAGATTTCTGGCTCTCACAGACCTGTAACTTCTTCTTTAAGAGGCTCCTCTGTCCTCCACTCGTTACCTGTATTAATGGCACCTGTTTGAACTTGTTATCAGTATAAAAGACACCTGTCCACAACCTCAAACAGTCACACTCCAAACTCCACTATGGCCAAGACCAAAGAGCTGTCAAAGGACACCAGAAACAAAATTGTAGACCTGCACCAGGCTGGGAAGACTGAATCTGCAATAGGTAAGCAGCTTGGTTTGAAGAAATCAACTGTGGGAGCAATTATTAGGAAATGGAAGACATACAAGACCACTGATAATCCCCCTCGATATGGGGCTCCACGCAAGATCTCACCCTGTGAAGTCAAAATGATCACAAGAACGGTGAGCAAAAATCCCAGAACTACACGGGGGGACCTAGTGAATGACCTGCAGAGAGCTGGGACCAAAGTAACAAAGCCTACCATCAGTAACACACTATGCCGTCAGGGACTCAAATCCTGCAGTCCCAGACGTGTCCCCCTGCTTAAGCCAGTACATGTCCAGGCCCGTCTGAAGTTTGCTAGAGTGCATTTGGATGATCCAGAAGAGGATTTGGAGAATGTCATATGGTCAGATGAAACCAAAATAGAACTTTTTGGTAAAAACTCAACTCGTCGTGTTTGGAGGACAAATAATGCTGAGTTGCATCCAAAGAACACCATACCTACTGTGAAGCATGGGGGTGGAAACATCATGCTTTGGGGCTGTTTTTCTGCAAAGGGACCAGGACGACTGATCCGTGTAAAGGAAAGAATGAATGGGGCCATGTATCGTGAGATTTTGAGTGAAAACCTCCTTCCATCAGCAAGGGCATTGAAGATGAAACGTGGCTGGGTCTTTCAGCATGACAATGATCCCAAACACACCGCCCAGGCAACGAAGGAGTGGCTTTGTAAGAAGCATTTCAAGGTCCTGGAGCGGCCTAGCCAGTCTCCAGATCTCAACCCCATAGAAAATCTGTGGAGGGAGTTGAAAGTCCGTGTTGCCCAGCGACAGCCCCAAAACATCACTGCTCTAGAGGAGATCTGCATGGAGGAATGGGCCAAAATACCAGCAACAGTGTGTGAAAACCTTGTGAAGACTTACAGAAAACGTTTGACCTGTGTCATTGCCAACAAAGGGTATATAACAAAGTATTGAGAAACTTTTGTTATTGACCAAATACTTATTTTCCACCATAATTTGCAAATAAATTCATAAAAAATCCTACAATGTGATTTTCTGGATATTTTTTCTCTCATTTTGTCTGTCATAGTTGACGTGTACCTATGATGAAAATTACAGGCCTCTCTCATCTTTTTAAGTGGGAGAACTTGCACAATTGGTGGTTGACTAAATACTTTTTTTCCCCTGCTGAAAAAAAAAAACCCACATGTGTTGAAGATACTGACATGAAAAAAGGAAGCCCATACCCCACTAGACCCCCAGAACCAACCTTTCCCTGTGTGGTTAAAGGGTGAAATTAGGGCAGGTACCCCATACCCCACTAGACCCCCAGAACCAACCTTTCCCTGTGTGGTTAAAGGGTGAAATGAGGGCAGGTACCCCATACCCCACTAGACCCCCAGAACCAACCTTTCCCTGTGTGGTTAAAGGGTGATATGAGGGAAGGTACCCAATATCCCATGAGACCCCCAGAACCAACCTTTATTTCCCTGTGTGGTTATAGGGTGAAATGACAGAAGGTACCCCATCCCCCATCAGACCCCCCAGAACCAAACGTTCCCTGTGTGGTTATAGGGTGAAATGACAGAAGGTACCCCATCCCCCACCAGACCCCCAGAACCAAACGTACCCTGTGTGATTAAGAGTGGCGAGGGAGGGGGGAAAGAGCAACACCTGTTCAGAAATGTGATGGTGAGACAAATTCTGTCTCTTGGTAACAGCACTCTTGTTGTAAACTGACTACAGCAAAGCAAAGCCCACTGCTGGGCATTCAGGACTAAGAAACATAGCAAGGCTTGACATAATTAAGCTGTGGGAATATTCTAACACACTGTCCGTACACATGCAAAGGGAGAATGTAGCATTTCCTTGTGAGGCTTCTATTGCTGCTGTTTTGTGTGTCTGTCACAGGCAAACAGCCATTGGACTTCTAATCTAATTGACCTTTCAGTCATACAAACGCTGCAAGTGTGCTGCCCAATAAAGCTGAGACTTTGCCCTTGTGAATAGGGCTGTTCAGGGACCGACGCTGTATAGCTCTACTAGTAAATCCTGTTGTTGCCTCTAATAGTAGGTACAGTGGGGAAAAAAAGTATTTAGTCAGCCACCAATTGTGCAAGTTCTCCCACTTAAAAAGATGAGAGAGGCCTGTAATTTTCATCATAGGTACACGTCAACTATGACAGACAAAATGAGAAAATAAAATCCCCCCCAAAAAAATTCTTCTCATTTTGTCTGTCATAGTTGACGTGTACCTATGATGAAAATTCGTAGCCGACTAAACTCAACTCCACGATTTATGATGGAGTTGAGCGGCGACTAGTGTGGGCGGACTAGTGCTCTGACGTCACATAAAATGACGTTTTTTATTTTTTTAAACTACTGATTTCAGCACCCAAAGAATACATTTTACATTTGAGTAATTTAGCGGACGCTCTTATCCAGAGCCACTTACAGTTAGTGAGTGCATACATTTTCATACTGGTCCCCCCGTGGGAAACGAACCCACAACCCTGGCGTTGCAAGCGCCATGCTCTACCAACTGAGCTACACAGAATTACACGAAACAATAAGTCGTTTTTGATTTAAAAAAACATAATTTCATGTGACGTCCACCCACACTAGTCGCCGCTCAACTTCATAATGGAGTTGAGTTTAATCGGCTGCCAGAAGTATAGTATATTAAGCCCATAGGCTACCAGCCCAGACAGGTCACCTGTGATACAAGTCAGTATTTGACATCCATCCATGTCTGAGGACGTTGGGAGATTACGTGAAAAACCGGCCACTAGGGGCAACAGTGAGCGCTGTTGCCTTCAAGTAGGTTTCAGTTTTGCGATTGTGTTGTGGATGGTGACGGCGGATGGGCATCTTTGTCTGGTGCCAAAGGTTGCATGTTCGAATCCAGTGATAGAAAGTTGTTTTTTTTATTTTTGTTTTAAGCCTATCCCAAACCTTAACCATTCGGAGTTAATGCCTAACCTTAAAATTCGGAGTTAATGACTAAACTTAACCTTAAACCGTTTGAAATTTTATGTTTGGAACAACTTCTCAAATTTGACTTTTGAGAAACATGGATTAACCTAATTCTGACCTGACTGTGAGAGCTTGTTGACCAGCCAGCCATGGTGGTCCAGGGACAAGCAGGCCAGAGCTTAAAATAAAAATTCTGAGAAGCTCACTTGAAAGGCCAACAGAGGAGTTTCTCCCCACACACACTCACACTGTAGCCTCTGTCTGTACATAGCCTAAAGATTCATTAATTTGTGTGGCCCCCGGCTAAGCTAGATGTTATGTATCCAGTCAGGTGCATTCTTGCGTGATGACAGCAGGTTGCAGAAATTGCATCGCGAGCTGTGTCGTAAGGAGAAGGACAGCAAATATTATCTGTCTCCATTAGCTGATATAGTAGCATAGCCTAATACATATATCATCATAAAATGATAAGGAAAGAAACTGCGATTGAAGATGGTTCAATGGACGTTATCAATTTGTCAGGCGGCGACGGTCACTGTTACTGCAAGAAATGGTGCTGACGTTACAAAGCCAGACCATTATTTAAGGCCACTGATATGCGGCGGCAACTGGCTGACTTGCCCCGAGCTGTGTCAAACTCACAGACCTCGCTACAAATAGCTGTCGGGCTGAATAAAACGACTGCAACATCACCCCACCAACAAAACACTCACATGTCACAATCGGCTTGTTCTCCATTGTGTAAATAATGGGCTTCTCCTCTTGAGGCTCCATCATGGATTCCGATAGTCAGTGGTAGCCCCCCATGTCATGTAAAAAATCCGGGTTGTTATTAGTAAATGCTTATGCATGCAGACAGTCGTGGGGTGTAATCATTAGTCCAAACAGTTGCGTTTTGCAACGAAAACGTGAGTTTCTATTGGACAAAGTCGTGTAGGTCACGCCCCGTTTCGTTCCGTTTTCTTCCGTTTAAGAAACGTTTTGCAACAGAATCTTAATGAATACGCCCCTGATGTATCGATGGGGCCGTGTCCACTGGCAGTGTCCCGTTACGCTTCCTGGAACACACCTTCACTCTACTACGTAGCCTATGCGCAATTTAAAGGGAACGCCGCATAGGCTGTTGCAGCACCTGATGTCTCCCTAAGTGAAAATGTATAAATGCCTAACAGAATCCTTTCTCATAGTGAAATTCAACACCAGGTGGTGTTCCTAACTGGAAACATTCAATCAATAACAATCAATCAAATGTACCTTTCAAATAGATTTGTTCAAATATGTGAATGTTTGATTTCAATGACTATTCGGAATGACTAGTTTAAATAACTGTAGTTGGAAATTATTTTCATTTTCACCATTTAAGTAAAGTTATAATGGTGAGGTGGTGGAAAAAATCTGCCGGCAAGATGGAAAACTCTGCTGTTCTGCCCTTGAGCAAGGCAGGTAACCCCCTGGATGTGGATTAAAGCTGCACCCTGCAACTCTCTGATTCAGAGGGGTCGAGTTCAATGTGGAAGGACCATTTCAGTTTAATGCATTCAGGTGTACTGACTAGGTATCCCCCTTTATTTTTTTATTTGGTATGTCTATCTATGAATGTATTACAGTGACTATCTGCACCCCTCTAGTGGTGTCAAGGTAAAATGGCTATGTTGTCATCGTGGTACATTGGTTAGCACTTTGCAGTCCTGTCAAGGTTGGTGCAGAAAGAGAACAGCTTCTTGTGGTTTTACAGCGCATTTGGAAAGTATTCAGACCCCATGAGTTTTTCCACATTTTGTTACGTTACAGCCTTATTCTAAAATTGATTAAATTGTTTTTTCCCCTCATCAATCTACACACAATACCCCATAATGACAAAGTGAAAACAGGTTTTTAGAAATATTTGCAAATGTATTAAAAATAAAAAACATAATTACCTTATTTACATAACTATTCAGGTCCTTTGCTATGAGACTCGAAATTGAGCTCAGGTGCATCCTGTTTCCATTGATCATCCTTGAGATGTTTTTACAGCTTCATTGGAGTCAACCTGTGGTAAATTCAATTGATTGGACATTATTTGGAAAGGCACACACCTGTCTATATAAGGTCCCACAGTTGACAGTGCATGTCAGAGCAAAAACCAAGCCATGAGGTTGAAAGAAGTGTCTGTAGAGCTCCAAGACAGGATTGTGTCGAGGCACAGATCTGGGGAAGAGTACCAAAAAAATTCTGCAGCATTGAAGGTCCTCAAGAACACAGTGGCCTCCATCATTCTTAAATGGAAGAAGTTTGGAACCACCAAGACTCTTCCTAGAGCTGGCCGCCCGGCCAAACTGAGCAATCAGGGGAGAAGGGCCTTGGTTAGGGAGCTGACCAAGAACCCGATGGTCACTCTGACAGAGCTCCAGAGTTCCTCTGTGGAGATGGGAGAACCTTCCAGAAGGTCAACCATTTCTGCAGCACTCCACCAATCAGGCCTTTATGGTAGAGTGGCCAGACAGAAGCCACTCCTTAGTAAAAGGCACATGACAGCCCGCTTGGAGTTTGCCAAAAGGCAACTAAAGGACTCTCAGACCATGTGAAACAAGATTCTCTGGTCTGATGAAACCAAGATTGAACTATTTGGCCTGAATGCCAAGCATCACATCTCGAGGAAACCTGGCACCATCCCTACGGTGAAGCATGGTGGTGGCAGCATCATGCTGTGGGGATGTTTTTCAGCGGCAGGGACTGGGAGACTAGTCAGGATCGAGGGAAAGATGAATGGAGCAAAGTACAGCGGGATCCTTGATGAGAACCTGCTCCAGAGCGCTCAGGACCTCAGACTGAGGCGAAGGTTCACCTTCCAGCAGGACAACGAACCTAAGCACACAGCCAGAGCCCTGATTTGAACCCGATCGAACATCTCTAGAGAGACCTGAAAATAGCTGTGCAGCAACGCTCCCCATCCAGTCTGACAGAGCTTGAGAGGATCTGCAGAGAAGAATGGGAGAAACTCCCCAAATACAGGTGTGCCAAGCTTGTAGCGTCATACCCAATACTTGAGGCTGTAATCACTGCCAAAGGTGCTTCAATAAAGTACTGAGTAAAGGATCTGAATACTTATGTAAATGTAATATTTCCGTTTTATTATTTTCAAAAATTTCGGAAAACCTACTTTTGCTTTGTCATTATGGGGTATTGTGTGTAGATTGATGAGGGGGGGGAAAAAACAATTTAATCCATTTTAGAATAAGGCTGTAACGTTACAAAATGTGAAAAAAGTCAAGGGGTCTGAATACTTTCCGAATGAGGTATAGTTGTGTAATATTTTTCAGTCTGCATTTGCCACTGCCCTACTTTCTCTACACACATCTCCATTCTCTCGTTCCCTTGATCCCTACCTGTCATCCTCCCTCCTCCCTACTGCTCCCCATCTCCATTCTCTCGTTCCCTTGATCCCTACCTGTCATCCTCCCTCCTCCCTACTGCTCCACATCTCCATTCTCTCGTTCCCTTGATCCCTACCTGTCATCCTCCCTCCTCCCTACTGCTCCACATCTCATTCTCGTTCCCTTGATCCCTACCTGTCATCTCCCTCCTCCCTACTGCGCCACAGTCTTTTATTCTCAGGGGCCCGCCGACCGGGCGCGGTACGCCGGCCGCACCCCGGGCGACCGCCCGGAGGCGCGCGACCGCGACGCCAGCGCCGCGCGCGCGCGCGCCAGCCGCGACGCCAGCGCCGCGCGCCGCGCGCCAGCCGCGACGCCAGCGCCGCCGCCCCCGCGCAGCCGCGACGCCAGCCGCCCGCGCCCAGCGGAGAGCGCGCCGCCCAGCGGACGCAGCCCGCCCGCCCGCCCGCGAGGCCGCCGCCGGCGCAGCGGAGCGCCGGCGAGCCGCCCGGAGCCGCCGCCCGCGGCGCGACGCCAGTCGCGCGCCGCGCCGCGACGCCAGCGCCGCCGCGCGCGCGACGCGCCGCGCGCGCCAGCCGGACGCCAGCGCCGGCGCCGCGCGCCAGCCGCGACGCCAGCGACGCCGCGCGCAGGGCACGGACGCCAGACGCCCGCCGCCGCAGCCGACGCCGCGCGCGCACGCGCAGCGCCGCGCGCCGCGCGCCAGACGCGACCCCAGCGCCGCCGAGCGCGCGCCGGCGACGCGCGCGCGCCGCGAGCCGCGAGCACGAGCCGACGCGCGCGCCAGCGCGAGCAGCGCGACGCGCCAGCCCCAGCGCCGCGCGCCGCGCGCGCCGCGACCGCGCCGCAGCGCGCAGCGCCCGGCACGCGCGCAGCAGCCGCGCGCCAACAGCAGCAGCGCCGACAGCGGCGCGACCGGAGCGAGCAGGCCCGCGCGAGCGCAAGAGCCCGACGCCGAGGCAGCAGCTCTAACCGCCCCCTCGTCCTGCGCGACCAGCGCGCAGCGACATCTCGCTCCGCCAGTAAACCATGCGCGCCAACCACATGCCTCCATGACAACTCATCTTCCTGTCCTCCACCATATGTCTGTAATCCGTCCCTCCCTCACCCGGATCATCCACATCTCTCTTATTGCCTTTCACAACTCTGCCCATATCCTGTCTTCCACTCTGCCCATATCCTGTCTTCCACTCTGCCCATATCCTGTCCTCCTCTCTGTCCTCCACTCTGCCCATATCCTGTCCTCCTCTCTGTCCTCCACTCTGCCCATATCCTGTCTTCCACTCTGCCCTATCCTTCCTCCTCTCTGTCTCCACTCCTGCCCCATATCCGACCTCCTCTTCTTTCCTCCACTCTGCCCATATCCTGTCTTCCACTCTGCCCATATCCTGTCTTCCACTCTGCCCATATCCTGTCTTCCACTCTGCCCATATCCTGTCCTCCTCTCTGCCTCAATCTTATGTTCCCTTCGTCCTCAACTCTACCCATATCCTGTCCTCCTCTCTGTCCTCAACTCTACCCATATCCTGTCCTCCTCTCTGTCCTCAACTCTACCCATTCCTGTCTCCTCCTCCACTTCCCATACTGTCCTCCTCTATGTCCTCCATCTCATACCTTCCTCTCTCTCTCCACTCTCCTCTCCGTCTCCGCCCCTTCCCCTCCATCCCTCATCCTCTCCCTCCCCTTTCCTCCAAGTCCCCCCTTAACCTGCTCCTCTCCCTCTCCCCGCTCCCCGTCAACTTGCCTCCCAACCCCTTGCTTTCCCTCTCTCCAGCTCCCCCTCCCTCTCCAACTCCCCCTCCAGCTGCTCCTCCCTCTCCCTCTCCCTCTCCGTCTCCACCTCCGCCTTCTTCGCCCTCTCCCTCTCCTCCTCCCCTCCCTCCCTCCCCACCTCCCCCTCCCTCTCCTCTTCCATCTCCCACCTCCCCCTACCTTTCCTTCTCCCCCTCCCTCTCCTCCTCCCCTCCCTCCCCACCTCCCCCTCCCTTTCCTCCCCATATCCCTCCTCCCCCTCTCTCTCCTCCTCCTCCTCCTTCCCTCCTCCCCCGCCCCCCTCCCTTTCCCTTCGCTCCTCCTCCTCCTCCCGCCTCCCCCTCCCTTTCCCCCTCACTCTCCCTCCTCCCCACCTCCCCCTCCCTACCCCTCCTCCGGTGATCAGCAGGTCTGCCATCATAAACAGGTGCTCGTGTCGCCCACAGTGGTGAAGATTTGCTCAGAGAACCAGAAGCATTAGAAGTACTAGCGCCTCACCGAGGCGAATACAGGGTTGGAGATGTTGGGGTAGATCCAACATTCCGCCCCGAAGCCGATGTATCAGGACAGGGAGAAGTAGAGACAAGCCTTCCAGCATGAATGTGTGTAGAGCAAAAGCTTGGAGATGAGGAAGGTGGATTCGGC